TTGCCCCCAGAGCTGCTCCCAGTTGCTCCCAGTGAGGTTCCTTGTACCCTCCCAGTGCTCCCAGTTGCACCCAGAGCTGCTCCCAGTGCTCCCAGTGCTGATCCTGGCCCCTCCCAGTTGCTCCCAGTGCTCCCAGTTGCCCCCAGAGCTGCTCCCAGTGCTCCCAGTGAGGTTCCTTGTGCCCTCCCAGTGCCCCCAGTGCCGATCCTGGCCCCTCCCAGTTGCTCCCAGTGCTCCCAGTTTGCCCAGCTTTCTCACTGCATGCCGAAGGAGATGAGGGAGACGCCGACCACCAGCACGTCCAGGAGGTTGAACCAGTTCCGGAGGAAGGAGCCCTTGTGCAGGAACCCCCCCGAACACCGTCATCTGTGGGGCACCCCAAAACCATGGGAACTCACCCCAAAATCCATGGGAAACTCACCCCAAAATCCTGGGAACTCACCCCAAAATCATGGGAACCCCCCGAACACCGTCATCTGTGGGGCACCCCAAAATCCATGGGAACCCCAAAATCCATGGGAACCCCAAAAACCATGGGAACTCACCCAAAAACCATGGGAACCCCCCGAACACCGTCATCTGTGGGGCACCCCCAAAAAACATGGGAACTCACCCCAAAATCCATGGGAATCCCAAAAACCCCGGGAACCCACCCCAAAAACCATGGGAACCCCCCGAACACCGTCATCTGTGGGGCACCCCAAAATCCTGGGAACCCCAAAAACCATGGGAACCCCAAAAACCATGGGAACACACCCCAAAAACCATGGGAACCCCAAACACCCCAGGAACACACCCCAGAAAACCATGGGAACCCCAAAAACCCTGGAACCCCAAAAACCCCGGGAAGCCACCCCAAAATCCCAGGGACACCACGAACACCGTCATCTGTGGGCACCCCAAAATCCATGGGAACCCCAAAAACCATGGGAACCCACCCCAAAATCCCAGGGACACCCCAAAAAACATGGGAACTCACCCCAAAAATCCATTGGAACCCCAAAAACCCTGGGAACCCACCCCAAAAAACCATGGGAACCCCAAAAAAAGCCCAGGAACCCCCAAAACCCATGGGAACCCCCTCCCCAAAACCTTGGGAACCCCAAAAAAAGCCCAGGAACCCCCCTCCCAAAAACCCGGGAACCCTCAAACCCTGGGAGCCCCCCCAAGAACGCCCTCCCCGAACCCCAAGGAACCCCAAAACCATGGGGGCCCCCCCAAACCTTGAGCAGGATCTCCACGGTGAAGATGGAGGTGAAGGCGTAATCGAAGTACCCCCAAAATCTGAGGGGGGGGAGGGGGCAACGGGGGGACCCCAAACCCTCTGAGACCCCCCCTGACACCCCCAAAACTCCTGAACCCCCCCAAACCCCCCCTGACCCCCCCAAACTCCTGAAACCCCCCCAAACACCCCCAAATCCCCCCTGACCCCTCTGGGGGTGCATTGGGGTGGGGAGGGGGCAACGGGGGGACCCCAACCCCCCTGAAACCCAGTGCTCCCAGTAACACACCAGTAACACACCAGTAACATCCCAGTGCTCCCAGTAACACACCAGTAACACACCAGTAACACACCAGTAACACACCAGTGCTCCCAGTAACACACCCAGTGCTCCCAGTAACACACCAGTAACAGACCAGTGCTCCCAGTAACACACCAGTAACACACCAGTGCTCCCAGTAACACCAGTAACACACCAGTAACACACCAGTGCTCCCAGTAACACCAGTAACACACCAGTAACACACCAGTAACATCCCAGTGCTCCCAGTAACACACCAGTAACACACCAGTAACACACCAGTAACACACCAGTAACATCCCAGTGCTCCCAGTAACACACCCAGTGCTCCCAGTAACACACCAGTAACACACCAGTAACACCAGTAACACACCAGTAACACACCAGTGCTCCCAGTAACACACCAGTGCTCCCAGTAACATCCCAGTGCTCCCAGTAACGCCCCCAATAACACCCTCAATGCTCCCAGTAACACACCAGTAACACACCAGTGCTTCCAGTAACACCAGTAACACACCAGTAACACCCCCAGTGCTCCCAGTAACACACCAGTAACATCCCAGTGCTCCCAGTAACGCCTCCAGTGCTCCCAGTAACGCCCCCAATAATGCACCCGTGCTCCGAGTAACACACCAGTAACACCCTCAATGCTCCCAGTAACACCAGTAACACACCAGTGCTCCCAGTAACACACCAGTAACACCCTCAATGCTCCCAGTAACACCAGTAACACCCCCAGTGCTCCCGGTTGCCCCCAGAGGTGCTCCCAGTTGCCCCCAGCAGCTCTCCCAGTGCCTCCCAGTAACTCCCCCAATAACACACCAGTAACACACCAGTAACATCCCAGTGCTCCCAGTAACGCCCCCAGTGCCGCCAGTAACACACCAGTAACATCCCAGTGCTCCCAGTTGCCCCCAGCAGCTCTCCCAGTGCTCCCAGTATGCCCAGTTTGCCCAGTCTACCCAGTCCCTCCCAGTTTGCCCAGTCCCTCCCAGTTGCCCCCAGCAGCGCTCCCAGTGCCTCCCAGTGGCTCCCAGTTTGCCCAGTTTGCCCAGTCTACCAGTCCCTCCCAGTCCCTCCCAGTGCTCCCAGTCCCTCCCAGTTTGCCCAGTGCTCCCAGTTGCCCCCAGCAGCACTCCCAGTGCCTCCCAGTCCCTCCCAGTTTGCCCAGTGCTCCCAGTATGCCCAGTTTGCCCAGTCTACCCAGTCCCTCCCAGTCCCTCCCAGTTGCCCCCAGCAGTGCTCCCAGTCCCTCCCAGTGCCTCCCAGTCCCCTCCCAGTTGCCCCCAGCAGTGCTCCCAGTCCCTCCCAGTGCCTCCCAGTCCCTCCAGTTGCCCCCAGGAGCTCTCCCAGTGGCTCCCAGTGCCTCCCAGTGGCTCCCAGTTTGCCCAGTGTTCCCAGTACGTGGTTGCGGGGCGAGTGGGCGCGCACGGGGTCCTCGGCCGCCAGGGAGATGCTGCTGAGGATGATGAAGACGAGGATGAGGTTGGTGAAGATGTGGTGGTTGATGAGCGCGTGGCCACTTCACCCGCAGGCTGCAGGGGAGAGACCAGTGCAGACCAGTTCAGTCCAGTTCATCCCAGTTCAGCCCAGTTCATCCCAGTTCAGCCCAGTACAAGCCCAGTGCAGTGCTCCCAGTACAGCCCAGTCCATCCCAGTACATCCCAGTTCAGCCAGTCCATCCCAGTTCAGCCCAGTTCAGCCCAGTTCAGCCCAGTGCAGCCCAGTGCAGCCCAGTTCAGTGCTCCCAGTGCAGCCCAGTTCAGCCCAGTTCAGCCCAGTTCAGCCAGTTCAGTGCTCCCAGTGCAGCCCAGTTCAGCCCAGTTCAGCCCAGTTCAGCCCAGTACAGCCCAGTACAGCCCAGGTCATCCCAGTTCATCCCAGTTCAGCCCAGTCCATCCCAGTACAGCCCAGTTCAGCCCAGTACAAGCCCAGTACAGCCCAGTGCAGCCCAGTTCAGCCCAGTGCAGCCCAGTTCAGCCCAGTTCAGCCCAGTTCAGCCCAGTGCAGTGCTCCCAGTACAGCCCAGTCCATCCCAGTACAGCCCAGTTCAGTCCAGTGCAGCCCAGTGCAGCCCAGTGCAGTGCTCCCAGTGCAGCCCAGTTCATCCCAGTCCAGCCCAGTTCATCCCAGTCCATCCCAGTGCAGCCCAGTTCAGCCCAGTACAGCCCAGTTCATCCCAGTTCAGCCCAGTGCAGTGCTCCCAGTTCAGCCCAGTTCATCCCAATTCATCCCAGTACAGCCCAGTTCATCCCAGTTCAGCCCAGTGCAGCCCAGTTCATCCCAGTTCAGCCCAGTTCAGCCCAGTGCAGTGCTCCCAGTACAGCCCAGTACAGCCCAGTTCATCCCAGTCCATCCCGGTTCAGCCCAGTTCAGCCCAGTACAGCCCAGTTCATCCCAGTTCAGCCCAGTACAGCCCAGTTCAGCCCAGTTCAGCCCAGTTCAGCCCAGTCCATCCCAGTTCATACCAGTACAGCCCAGTCCTCCCATTCCCCCCATTCCCCCCATTCCCCCAGTCCCCCCCAATCCCTCCCAGTCCCTCCCATTCCCCCCATTCCCCCCATTCCCCCCAGTCCCCCCATTCCCCCCATTCCCCCCAGTTCCCCCAGTTCCCCCAGTTCCCCCAGTTCCTCACGGGTTGGTGCTGCTCAGCACGAAGAAGGCGCTGCCCTCGGGGATCGGGGTCACCTTGGTCTTGGGGGGCTCCTCCAGGGGACCTCCAACCGGGCCCTGCCCAGGCTGTCCCTGTCCCCCCCTGGCTCCTCGTCACCTGTGGGGACCCTCGTGTCACCTCCCCCCTTTGGGGACCCCCGTGTCACCTCCCCAGGGACCCCCGTGTCACCTGTGGGGACCCTCGTGTCACCTCCCCCCCTTTGGGGACCCTCGTGTCACCTCCCCAGGGACCCCCGTGTCACCATCAGGGACCCCCGTGTCACCTGTGGGGACCCTCGTGTCACCTTCCCAGGGACCCCCCGTGTCACCTCCCCCCCCTTTGGGGACCCTCGTGTCACCACCAGGGACCCCCGTGTCACCTGTGGGGACCCTCGTGTCACTTCCCCCCGCTCTGGGGACCCCCGTGTCACCTCCCCAGGGACCCCCGGTGTCACCTCCGGCCCCTTTGGGGACCCCCGTGTCACCACCAGGGACCCCCGTGTCACCTCCCCCCCTTCAAGGACCCTGTGTCACCTCCCCAGGGACCCCCGTGTCACCTCCCCACCCTGGGGACACCCTGTGTCACCATCAGGGACCCCCGTGTCACATCCCCCGTGTCCAGCCATTGTCACCTCCCCAGGGACCCCCGTGTCACCTCCCCCCCCCCCCTCCAGGGACCCCCACCCCAGGCACTGTCACCCCCCAATGTCCCCAATGTCCCCAATGTCGCCCTGCAGGTGACACTCACCTTCCTCTCCCTCTTCCTCCTCCTCCTCCTCTTCCTCCTCCTGCGGATCCCCCTCAACCTGGGGAGGGGGGAGGGGTGAGGGCTGTGCACCCCCCCCCCCCCAGGACCCCCCCCCCCCCAAATCCCCGTCACCCCTCCGGGACCCCCACCCAAATCAATGTCACCCCCCCGGGACCCCCCAGTCACTGTCACCCCCCCAGGACCCCCACCCAAATCAAACGTCACCCACACCCCCAGGACCCCCCAGTCACTGTCACCCTTTCGGGACCCCCCAGGACCCCCCCAAATCCCCATCACCCCCCGGAACCCCCCCCGCAGTCACTGTCACCCCCTCAGGAACCCCCCAAATCAATGTCACCCCCCCCCCCCCGGGACCCCCCCCCAGGACCCTCTAGGACCCCCCCAATCAATGTCACCCCCCCTGGGACCCCCCCAAATCAATGTCACCCCCCCCAGGACCCCCACCCAAATCAATAGGACCCCCCCAAATCAATGTCACCCACCCAGGACCCCCCCAAATCATGTCACCCCCCCCGGGACCCCCCCCAAAATCAATGCCACCCACCCGGGACCCCCACCCAAATCAACAGGACCCCCCCAAATCAATGCCACCCCCCCGGGACCCCCCCCAAATCAATGTCACCCCCCCCAGGACCCCCACCCAAATCAATGCCACCCCCCGGGACCCCCCCAGGACCCTCCAGGACCCCCCCCCCAAATCAATGTCACCCCCTCCGGGACCCCCACCCAAATCAACAGGACCCCCCCGGGACCCCCACCCAAATCAATAGGACCCCCCCAAATCAATGTCACCCCACCCAGAACCCCCCCAAATCAATGCCACCCCCCCCAGGAACCCCCAAATCAATGTCACCCCCCCGGACCCCCCCTCACCTTCACCGCCACCTTCCTGGCTCTCTGTCCCTGTCCCCTCCTCCCCGGCCTTGTCCCTGGGTTTGGGGACAAAAGGGGGGGGGCTCAGCCGGGGGGGGCGGGGGTCAGACCCCGCCCAGGGGGGCTCAGGGGATGTGGGGACCCCTCCTCATCACCCTCAAAAGGGGTCCCGGGGTATTGGGGAACCCCTCCTCATCACCCCCAAAAGGGGCTCAGGGTATTGGGGGGGACCCCCTCCCCATCACCCCCCAAAAGGGGTCCTGGGGGTCCCAGGGGATGTGGGGACCCCTCCCCATCACCCCCAAAAAGGGGCTCAGGGTATTGGGGGGACCCCTCCTCATCACCCCAAAAGGGGTCCCGGGGTATTGGGGGGAGACCCCTCCCCATCACCCCCAAAAGGGGTCCTGGGGTATTGGGGGGACCCCTCCTCATCACCCCAAAAGGGGTCCCGGGGTATTGGGGGGACCCCTCCCCATCACCCCCAAAAGGGGGCTCAGGGTATTGGGGGGACCCCTCCTCATCACCCCCAAAAGGGGTCCTGGAGGTCCCAGAGGATGTGGGGACCCCTCCCCACCCCCAAAAGGGGTCCCAGAAGGGGTGCCGGAGGTCCAGGGGTATGGGGGGACCCCTCCTCATCACCCCAAAAGGGGTCCCAGAAGGGGTCCCAGGGAATGTGGGGAGGGGTCCCCACCCCCAAAAGGGGTCCCAGGGGTCAGACCCCCCCAGAATGGGTCTCAGAGGACGTGGGGACCCCTCCCCATCCCCCCCAAAAGGGGTCCTGGGGGTCCCAGGGGATGTGGGGACCCCTCCCCATCACCCCCAAAATGGGTCCCAGGGGTCAGACCCCCCCCCAAAAGGGGTCCCGGGGGATGTGGGGAGGGGTCCCCACCCCCAAAAGGGGTCCCAAGGTATTGGGGGGACCCCTCCCCATCATCCCCAAAAGGGGCTCAGGGTATTGGGGGACCCCTCCCCATCCCTCCCAAAAGGGGTCCCAGGGGTCCCAGGGGTCAGACCCCCCCCCAGAATGGGTCTCAGAGGTGGGGACCCCTCCCCATCCCCCCCATAAGGGGTCCCGGGGGTCCCAGGGGTCCCAGAAGGGGTCCCAGGGGTCCCAGGGGTCCCGGGGGTCCCGCGCTCACTTTTTGTCCCCCCCCCGAGTTGATGTTGTCACCATCGGCCAGGTTGTCCACGGCGATGGCCAGGAAGACGTTGAGGAGGATGTCTGGGGAGGGGGCACCAGTGCTCCCAGTATATCCCAGTATATCCCAGTATGCCCCCAGTGCTCCCAGTATATCCCAGTATATCCCAGTATGCCCCCAGTGCTCCCAGTATGCTCCCAGTATATCCCAGTATCCTCACAGTATATCCCAGTATGCTCCCAGTGCTCCCAGTATACCCCAGTATGCTACCAGTACCTGCCAGTATCCTCCCAGTGTCCCCCAGTATCCTCCCAGTATCTGCCAGTGACGTCCCAGTATCCTCCTGGTATGCCCCAGTATTCCCCAGTATCCTCCCATTATCTCCCAGTATCCTCCCAGTATCTCCCAGTGCGGTCCCCAGTATCCTTCTAGTATGCTCCCAGTATTCCCCAGTATCTTCCAGTATCTCCCAGCATCCTCCCAGTGCTCCCAGTATCTCCCAGTATCCCCAGTATGCTACCAGTATGGTCCCAGTGTTCCCCAGTATCCTCCCAGTATCTCCCAGTATCCTCCAAGTGCCCCCAGTCCCTCCCAGTTCATCCCAGTGCTTGAGTCCCCCCAGTGCTTCCAGTCCCTCCCAGTCCCTCCCAGTGCCCCCCAGTCCCTCCCAGTGTTCCCAGTCCCTCCCAGTCCCTCCCAGTGCTCCAGTGCCCCCAATGCTCCCAGTGTTCCCAGTATCCCCAGTGCCCCCCAGTCCCTCCCAGTCCCCCCCAGTCCCTCCCAGTCCATCCCAGTCCCTCCCAGTCGCTCCCAGTCTCCCCAGTCCCTCCCAGTCCCTCCCAGTCCCCCCCAGTCCCTCCCAGTCCCTCCCAGTCCCCCCCAGTCCCTCCCAGTCCCCCCCAGTGCCCCCAGGTCCCTCCCAGTGTTCCCAGTACCCCCAATACTCCCAGTCCCTCCCAGTCCCTCCCAGTCCCTCCCAGTCCCTCCCAGTTCCCCCAGTTGGGCACGCACAGTTCCCGCAGATGAAGAGGATGACGAAGTAAACGCAGACGAGCATCCCGGGGAACACGGGCCCCCCGTAGGCCATGATGCCATCGTACATCACCGCGTTCCAGTCCTCCCCCGTCAGGATCTGCACCCCAAAACCTCAGTGACACCCCAAAAAATGGGGCACCCCAAAAACTGGGGCACCCCAAAAAACGGGGCACCCAAAAACCTCAGTGCCACCCCAAAAAATGGGACACCCCAAAAACCGCGACACCCCAAAACCTCAGTGCCACCCCAAAAAACGGGACAGTGCCACCCTAAAACCCTCAGTGCCACCGAAAAACCGGGACACCCCCAAAACATCAGTGCTACCCCCCCCAAAAACCGGGGCACCCCAGAACCTCAGTGCCATCCCAAAACCTCAGTGCCACCCCAAAAAAACGGGACAACCCCCAAATAAAGTGAGGGCACCCGAAAAAAGTGAGGGCACCCCAAAACCTCAGTGCCACCCCAAAAAACGGGGATACTCGAAAAACCCGGGGCACCCAGAAACCTCAGTGCCACCCCAAAAAAATGGGACACCCCAAATAAAGTGAGGGCACCCGAAAAAAGTGAGGGCACCCCAAAACCTCAGTGCCACCCCAAAAAAACGGGGATACTCGAAAAACCGGGACAACACCCCAGAACCTCAGTGCCACCCCCAAAAAATGGGGATACTCGAAAAACCGGGGCACCCAAAAACTTCAGTGCTACCCCAAAAACCGGGGCATCCCAGAACCTCAGTGCCACCCCAGAACCTCAGTGCCACCCCCAAAACCGGGACACCCCCAAAACCTCAGTGCCACCCCAAAAACCTGGGATACCCCCAATAAACCAGGGGCAGCCCAAAACCTCAGAGCCACCCCAAAAACGGGGATACCCCAAAAAACGGGCACCCCAAAAACCGGGACATCCCACAACCTCAGGGACACCCCCAAAAACCGGGATACCCCCAAAAACTGGGACACCCCAAAAACTGGACACCCCAAAAAACGGGGCGCCCCCCAAAACCTCAGTGCTACCCCAAAAAACCAGGGGCACCCCAAAAACCGGGGCAGCCCAAAACCTCAGTGCCACCCCCAAAAAACGGGACAGTGCCACCCTAAAACCCTCAGTGCCACCCGAAAAACCGGGACACCCCAAAACCTCAGTGCCACCCCAAAAAACGGGACACCCCAAAAACCGGGGCACCCAAAAACCTCAGTGCCACCCCCAAAAAACGGGACACCCCAAAAAACGGGGCACCCAAAAACCTCAGTGCCACCCCAAAAAAACGGGACACCCCAGAACCTCATTGCCACCCCAAAAAACGGGGACACCCCAAAAAACGGGGCGCCCCAGAACTCAGAGCCACCCCAAAAAAACGGGACACCCCAAAAAACGGGACACCCCAAAACCTCAGTGCCACCCCAAAACCTCAGTGCCACCCCAAAAACCGGGACACCCCAAAACCTCAGTGCCACCCCAAAAACCTGGGATACCCCATAAACCAGGGGCAGCCCAAAACCTCAGTGCCACCCCAAAAACGGGACACCCCAAAAAACGGGGCGCCCCAGAACCTCAGAGCCACCCCAAAAAAACGGGACACCCCAAAACCTCAGTGCCACCCCAGAACCTCAGTGCCACCCCAAAAAACGGGACACCCCAAAAAACGGGGATACCCCAGAACCTCAGTGCCACCCCAGAACCTCAGTGCCACCCCCCAAAAAACGGCGCACCCCAAAAACCGGGACACCCCCAAAAAATGGGGCACCCCAGAACCCTCAGTGCCACCCCGAAAACCACGGATACCCCCAAAAACCGGGACACCCCAAAAAACGGGGCATCCCACAACCTCAGTCCACTCCAAAACCTCAGCGCCACCCCCAAAAACCGGGACACCCCAAAAAACGGGGCATCCCAAAACCTCAGTGCCACCCCAAACCCCACAAATTCTGGGGTTCCGCATAATTTTCGGTCTCCTCATGGTTTTAGGGTCCCCTGTGCATTTTGGGGTCTCATTTGGGGTTTCAAGGATGTCCTGCAGGCTTTGGGTCCTCCCTGAGGGATTTCAGCCTCCCCATCCCCGTATTTTGGGGTCTCCTCAGGTTTTAGGGTCCCCTGTGCATTTTGGGGTCTCCCCACAAATTTCAGAGCCTCCTTTGGGGTTTCAGGGAAACCCTGAAGGCTTTGGGGTCTCCCTGCAATCTTTGGGGTCCCCCTGAGGTTTCGGGGTCCCCCCCGGGTTTTGGGGTACCTGGAACACGGTGAGCAGCACCTGGGGGAAGGTGTCGAAGGTGCTGCGCTTGGTCTTTGGGGTCTCCCTGAGGTTTTGGGGTACCCTAAAGGCTCCCCCCAGGTTTTGGGGTACCCCAAAATGTTCCCCTGAGGTTTTGAGGTACCCCCAAAAGGTTCCCTCCAGGTTTTGGGGGTCTCCTCATGGCTTTAGGGTCCCCCGTGCATTCTGGGGTCCCCCCCAGGTTTTGGGGTACCTGGAACAGGGTGAGCAGCACCTGGGGGGTCTCCCTGAGGTTTTGGGGTCTCCCCCAGGTTTTGGGGTCCCCCCGGGTTTTGGGGTACCTGGAACGCGGTGAGCAGCGCCTGTGGGGTCTCCCTGAGGTTTTGGGGTCTCCCTGAGGTTTTGAGGTAGCCCAAAGGCTCCCCCCAGGTTTTGGGGGTACCCCAAAAGGTTCCCCTGAGGTCTTGGTGTTCCCCTGAGGTTTTGAGGTACCCCTAAAGGTTCCCCCCAGGTTTTGGGGTCTCCTCATGGCTTTAGGGTCCCCCGTGCATTCTGGGGTTCCCCCCGGGTTTTGGGGTACCTGGAACAGGGTAAGCAATGCCTGTGGGGTCTCCCTGAGGTTTTGGGGTCTCCTGAGGTTTTGGGGTCCCCCTGAGGTTTTGGGGTCTCCCCCCAGGTTTTGGGGTCTCCCTGAGGTTTTGGGGTCCCCCCCGGGTTTCGGGGTACCTGGAACACGGTGAGCAGCACCTGGGGGGTCTCCCTGAGGTTTTGGGGTCTCCCCCCAGGTTTTGGGGTCTCCCCGGGTTTTGGGGTCCCCCCCGGGTTTCGGGGTACCTGGAACGCGGTGAGCAGGGCCTGGGGTCTCCCTGAGGTTTTGGGGTCTCCCTGAGGTTTTGGGGTCCCCCCCAGGTTTTGGGGTCCCCCCGGGTTTTGGGGTACCTGGAACGCGGTGAGCAGCGCCTGGGGGGGTCTCCCCCGGGTTTTGGGGTCTCCCTGAGGTTTTGGGATCTCCCTGAGGTTTTGGGGTCCCCCCCGGGTTTTGGGGTACCCGGAACACGGTGAGCAGGGCCTGGGGGGTCTCCCCCAGGTTTTGGGGTCCCCCCCAGGTTTTGGGGGTCTCCCTGAGGTTTTGGGGTCCCCCCGGGTTTTGGGGTACCTGGAACACGGTGAGCAGGGCCTGGGGGGGTCTCCCTGAGGTTTTGGGGTCTCCCTGAGGTTTTGGGATCTCCCTGAGGTTTTTGGGGTCTCCCCCCAGGTTTTGGGGTCTCCCCCAGGTTTTGGGGTCCCCCCCGGGTTTTGGGGTCTCCCTGAGGTTTTGGGGTCCCCCCCCAGGTTTTGGGGTCCCCCCGGGTTTTGGGGTACCTGGAACACGGTGAGCAGCGCCTGGGGGAAGGTGTCGAAGGTGTCTGCGCTTGGTCTGGGTCTCGTCGAAGCTGAAGCGGCCCCCGAAGAGCTGCATGCCCAGCAGGGCGAAGATGATGATGAAGAGGAAGAGCAGAAGCAGCAGGGAGGCGATGGATTTCATGGAGTTCAGCAGGGAGCCAACGAGATTGCTCAGGGACGCCCAGTGCCTGCGGGATACTGGGGTTACTGGGAGGGACTGGGAGGGACTGGGATAGACTGGGAGGGACTGGGAGGGACTGGGAGGGACTGGGGGCACTGGGATGGACTGGGAGGGACTGGGAGCCACTGGGATGGACTGGGATGGACTGGGATGGACTGGGGGGCACTGGGAAGGGATGAATGGATTTCATGGAGTTCAGCAGGGAGCCAAAGAGATTGCTCAGGGACGCCAGTGCCTGTGGGATACTGGGGTTACTGGGATGGACTGGGAGGGACCTGGGAGGGACTGGATCGACTGGGATGGACTGGGAGGGACTGGGAGGGACTGGGATGGACTGGGAGCACTGGGAGCACTGGGATGGACTGGATGGACAGAGCAGAGCCAACTTGCTGCGCGTCCCCGCGCTGTCCCTGTGTCAGTGTGTCCCACTGTCAGTGTGTCCCCGTGCTGTCCCACTGTCCGTGTGTCCCCACACTGTCCCCTTGCCATCCCTGCACCGTCCCCACACTGTCGCACTGTCGGTGTGTCCCACTGTCAGTGTGTCCCCGTGCTGTGCCCACACTGTCCCCTCGCTGTCCCTGCACATCCCTGCACTGTCCCGGTGTTGGGGTGTCCCCCTGTGTGTCCCCGCACTGTCCCCACGCTGTCCCTGTGTTAGTGTGTCCCGCTGTCTGTGTGTCCCATTGTTGGTGTGTCCCCCTGCTTGTCCCGGCGCTGTCCCGCTGTTGGTGTGTCCTCCCCTGTGTGTCCCCTCACCGTCCCACTGTCAGTGTGTCCCACTGTCAGTGTCCCCCTGCGTGTCCCCACCCCTGTCCCACTGTCAGTGTCCCCCTGCGTGTCCCCACGCTGTCCCACTGTCTGTGTGTCCCGCTGTTGGTGTGTCCCACTGTCAGTGTCCCCCCCTCCGTGTCCCCACACTGTCCCACTGTCAGTGTCCCCCTGCGTGTCCCCATGCTGTCCCGCTGTTGGTGTGTCCCACTGTCCGTGTCCCCCCCTTTGTGTCCCCACCCTGTCCCACTGCCAGTGTCCCCCCCTGCGTGTCCCCGTCCCTCACCGAGTGACCTTGAAGACGCGCAGCAGGCGCACGCAGCGCAGCACGGAGATGCCGAGCGGCTCCATGGCGCCACCGCTCCACCAGCGCGGTCTCCAGCACGCCCCCGCACACCACGAAGCAATCGAAGCGGTTGAAGAAGCTCGCGAAGTAACACGAGGGGCCCAGAGCGTAGAGCTTCAGCACCATCTCGGCGGCGAAGAGCGACAGCAGCGCCTTGTTGGCGTAGGCTGGGGTGGGGGGACACCGGGGGACACAGCCGGGTCAACCCCCGGGAGGGTGGGATGGGACCCCCGAGCTCTGGGGGTGATGGGGACATTGGGGGGACACATGAGGGTCACTGCCCGGGAGGGTGGGATGGGACCCCCCCGAGCTCTGGGGTGATGGGGACACTGGGGGGGCACAGCTGGGTCACAGCCCAGGATATTGGGATGGGACCCCCGAGCTCTGTGGGTGATGGGGGGGACACCGGGGGACACAGCCGGGTCACCCCCGGGAGGGTGGGATGGGAGCCCCGAGCTCTGGGGGTGATGGGGACACCGGGGGACACAGCCAGGTCAGCCCCGGAGGGTGGGATGGGACCCCCCGAGCTCTGGGGGTGATGGGGACATTGGGGGACACATGAGGGTCACACCCCAGGAGGGTGGGATGGGACCCCCGAGCTCTGGGGACACACCCGGGTCACCCCCCCGGGAAAGTGGGGGGGAACAGAGGGGGTGGGATGGGACCCCCGAGCTCTGGAGTAGCAGGGGAACACACCAGGGTCACCCTCCGGGAGGTTTGGGGGGAAAGAGAAGGGAAGGGATGGGACCCCCGAGCTCTGGGGGTGATGGGGACACCGGGGGACACATGAGGGTCACAGCCCAGGAGGGTGAGATGGGACCCTCGAGCTCTGGGGGTGATGGGGACACCGGGGGACACAGCCGGGTCACCCCCGGGAGGGTGGGATGGGACCCCCGAGCTCTGGGGTGGGGGGACATTGGGGGACACAGCTGGGTCAGCCCCCGGGAGGGTGGGATGGACCCCCGAGCTCTGGGGTGATGGGGACACCGGGGGACACACCAGGGTCACCCCCCGGGATATTGGGATGGGACCCCCGAGCTCTGGGGTAGGGGGGGGACACAGCTGGGTCAGCCCCAGGAGGATGGGATGGGACCCCCGAGCTCTGGGGGTGATGGGGGAGACACAGCCAGGTCAGCCCCCGGAGGGTGGGGGGGAAATACCGGGAGTGGGATGGGACCCCCCGAGCTCTGGGGGTGATGGGGACATCAGGGGACACAGCCGGGTCACACCCCGGGAGAAATATTGGGAGTGGGATGGGACCCCCCGAGCTCTGGGGTACCGAGGGGTTTGGGAGGCACGGGGAGGTGGTGGGGGGTGTTTTTTGGGGGGTGTTTTTTGGGGGGTGTTTCTTGGGGGGTGTTTTTTTGGGGGGTGTTTTTTTGGGGGGTGTTTTTTTGGGGGGTGTTTTTTGGGGGGCATCGGGGCGCACTGAGGGGTTTGGGAGACACAGGGAGGTGTCGGGGGGCACTGGAGGATACCCGGGGGTCCTGGGGAGGGTTTGGGGGGCACTGAGGGGGTTTTAGAGGCACTGGGGGATGTTGGGGGCACTGGGAGTGTCGGGGGACACTGGAGGACACCTGGCTGTCCTGGGTCACTCTGGGCTGTCCCCGGCTGTCCCTGGCTGTCCCTGAGCACTGTGTCCCCTCTCAGGTGGTGATGGAGGAGGGTGGCTGTGAGGCCATCTGCAAGGACCGGGGCTGTCCCTGTGTGTCTCTGGCTGTCCCTGGCTGTCCCCTGGGTGCCCCGGCTGTCCCCGGCTGTCTTGGGCTGTCCCCAACTGTCCCGGGCTCTCCCCGCCTGTCCCCGGTTGTCCCTGGCTGTCCCTGGCTGTCCCTGGCTGTCCCTGGCTATCCCCACCTGTCCCCACCTGTCCCGGGCTATCCCTGCCTGTCCCCCGCTGTCCCCGGGCTCCTCACCCTGTGTCTTGGTGAGCCAGGGCGGCTGTCCCTGGCTGTCCCTGGCTGTCCCCACCTGTCCCTGGGTGTCCCCAGCTGTCCCTGGGTGTCCCCACCTGTCCCTGGCTGTCCCCCCCTGTCCCCAGGCTCCTCACCCTGTGTCTCGGTGAGCCAGGGCGGCTGCCCGTGGGCTGTCCCTGGGCTGTCCCCACCTGTCCCTGGGTATCCCTGGCTGTCCCCAGCTGTCCCCAGCTGTCCCCAGGCTCCTCACCCTGTGTCTCGGTGAGCCAGGGCGGCTGTCCCCAGCTGTCCCTGGCTGTCCCCGCCTGTCCCCCAGCTGTCCCTGGCTGTCCCTGGGTGTCCCTGGGTGGTCCCTGCCTGTCCCTGGCTGTCCCCCCACCCTGTCCCCCCCTGTCCCCACCCGTCCCCAGGCTCCTCACCCTGTGTCTTGGTGAGCCAGGGCGGCTGTCCCTGGGTGTCCCTGGCTGTCCCTGGCTGTCCCCAGCTGTCCCCAACCTGTCCCTGGGTATCCCTGGCAGTCCCTGGCTGTCCCTGGCAGTCCCTGCCTGTCCCTGGGTGTCCCTGGCTATCCCCACCTGTCCCTGGGTGTCCCCAGGGCTCCTCACCCTGTGTCTCGGTGAGCCAGGGCGGCTGCCCGTGGTGCTCGGAGGCGATGGTGAGGGCGTTGAGGAACACGAGCAGCAGCACGGTCCAGTAGAAGGACACGGATTTCACCGCGGCGCGGCAGCGGCGCCGCCACAGCCGGTTCAGGCGGCGCAGCCGGCGGCTGAGGGGACACCGGGGCCGTTTGGGGACAGAGGGGACACCCGGGGCCGTTTGGGGACAGAGGGGACCCGGGGGCGTTTGGGGACAGAGGGGACCCGGGGGCGTTTGGGGACAGAGGGACACCCGGGGCGTTTGGGGACACCGGGGCCGTTTGGGGACAGAGGGGACCCGGGGGTGTTTGGGGATAGAGGGGACGCGGGGGCGTTTGGGGACAGAGGGGACCCGGGGGGGCGTTTGGGGATAGAGGGGACACCCAGGGGGACAGCCAGGGACACGGGACCCGGGGCCGTTTGGGGACAGAGGGGACCCGGGGGCGTTTGGGGACAGAGGGGACCCGGGGCCGTTTGGGGACAGAGGGGACCCGGGGGCGTTTGGGGACAGAGGGGACACGGGGCGTTTGGGGACAGAGGGGACACCGGGGGGCGTTTGGGGACAGAGGGGACCCGGGGGGCGTTTGGGGACAGAGGGGACACCGGGGGTGTTTGGGGATAGAGGGGACCCGGGGGGCGTTTGGGGACAGAGGGGACACCCGGGGGGCGTTTGGGGACACCGGGACCGTTTGGGGACAGAGGGGACACCCGGGACCATTTGGGGACAGAGGGGACCCGGGGGGCGTTTGGGGACAGAGGGGACACCCATTTTTTTAGGAAAAACCTTTCCCTTAAAACCATTTTTCCATAAAAAACCTTTCCCTTAAACCCATTTTTGGGTAAAAACCTTTCCCTTGAACCCATATTTTGGTAAAAACCTTCCCTTAAACCCATTTTTCATTAAAAACCTTTCCCTTAAAAACCATTTTTCCATAAAAACCTTTCCCTTAAATCCGTATTTCCATTAAAACTTTTCCCTTAAACCCATTTTTGGGGAAAAACCTTTCCCTTAAACCCATATTTTGGTAAAAAATAAAACCATAAAGGTTTTTCCATAAAACCTTTCCTTAAACCCATTTTTCTATAAAACCCTTTCCTTAAACCCATTTTTGGGTAAAAACCTTTCCCTTAAACCCATATTTTGGTAAAGGTTTTCCATAAAAACCTTTCCTTAAAACCCATTTTTCCATAAAAACCTTCCCTTAAATCCATATTTCCATTAAAAACCCTTCCCTTAAACCCATTTTTGGGTAAAAACCTTTCCCTTATACCCATATTTTGGTAAAGGTTTTCCATAAAACCTTGGTAAAGTTTTTCCATAAAAAACCTTTCCTTTAATCCCATTTTTCATTAAAAACCTTTCCCTTAAATCCAGATTTCCATTAAAACCTTCCCCTTAAAACCCATTTTTGGGTAAAAACCTTTCCCCTAAACCCATATTTTGGTAAAAACCTTCCCTTAACCCATTTTTCATTAAAAACCTTTCATTAATTCCATTTTCCCATAAAAACCTTTCCTTTAATCCCATATTTCCATTAAAACCTTTCCCTTAAACCCATTTTTGGGGAAAAACCTTTCCTTAAACCCATTTTTTGGTAAAGTTTTTCCATAAAAACCTCTCCTTTAATCCCATTTTTCATTAAAAACCTTTACCTTAAACCCATATTTCCATAAAAACCTTTCCCTTAAACCCGTTTTTGGGTAAACACCTTTCCCTTAAACCCATATTTTGGTAAAACCCCTTCCTTTATACCCATATTTTGGTCAATTTTTTCCATAAAAACCTTTCTTTAATCCCATTTTTCCACAAAAACCTTTCCCTTAAAACCAATTTTTCATTAAAAACCTTTCCTTAATCCCATTTTCCCATAAAAACCTTTCCTTTAATCCCATATTTCCATTAAAACCTTTCCCTTAAACCCATTTTTGGGTAAAAACCTTCTCCTTAAACCTATTTTTTGTTAAAAACTTAAACCCATATTTCCATAAAAACCTTTCCTTATACTCATTTTTGGATAAAAACCTTTCTCTTAAACCCATTTTTGGGGAAAAAACCTTTCCCTTAAACCCATATTTTGGTAAAAAATAAAACCATAAAGGTTTTTCCATAAAACCTTTCCTTAAACCCACTTTTCTATAAAACCCTTTCCTTAAACCCATTTTTGGGTAAAAACCTTTCCCTTATACCCATATTTTGGTAAAGGTTTTCCATAAAACCTTTGGTAAAGTTTTTCCATAAAAACCTTTCCCTTAAAACCCATTTTTCCATAAAAACCTTTCCTTAAATCCATATTTCCATTAAAACCTTTCCCTTAAACCCATTTTTGGGTAAAAACCTTTCCCCTAAACCCATATTTTGGTAAAAACCTTTCTCTTAAACCCATATTTTGGTAAAACCCTTTCCTTTATACCCATTTTTGGGTAAAAACCTTTCTCTTAAACCCATATTTCAGTAAAAACCTTTTCCTAATATCCAACCCATTTTCCCATAAAAAACCTTTCCCTTAAACCAATATTTCCATAAAAACCTTTCCCTTAAACCCATATTTTGTTAAAAAACCTTTCCTTTAAACCCATTTTTCCATAAAAAACCTTTCCCTTTAAACCCATTTTGGGATGGGTTGGGAATTTTTAGGGTCCGTCCCCATTTTTACCACATTTCCCCCCCATTTTTTCTCCCCACTCACCAGAATTTTGTCTTTGTAATTTTGCCCCTGAGGAGAGAAAAAAAACCAAGAGAAATTACCCCCAAATTACCCCCAAATTACCCCCAAAATTACCCCCAAATTAACTCAAAATTAACCCAAAATTACCCCAAATTTGGGGCTGAGGGACACCCCCAAAATTACCCCCAAATTAACCCTAAAATTACCCCAAAATTAACCCTAAAATTAACCCAAAATTACCCCCAAAATTACCCCAAAACTACCCCAAAATTACCCCACAATTAACCCAAAATTACCCCAAATTTGGGGCTGAGGGACACCCCCAAAATTACCCCCAAATTACCCCAAAATTAACCCAAAATTACCCCCAAATTTGGGGCTGAGGGACACCCCCAAAATTACCCCCAAAATTACCCCAAAATTAACCCAAATTACCCCAAAATTACCCCAAAATTAACCCACAATTAACCCCAAAATTACCCCCAAAATTACCCCCAAATTAACCCCAAAATTACCCCCAAATTACCCCAAAATTAACCCAAAATTACCCCAAAATTACCCCCAAATTAACCCCAAAATAACCCCAAAATTAACCCCAAAATTACCCCAAAATTAACCCCAAAATTACCCCAAAAATTTCCCCAAAATTAACCCACAATTACCCCCAAAATTACCCCCAAATTACCCCCAAATTACCCCCAAATTAACCCCAAAATTACCCCAAAATTAACCCACAATTAACCCACAATTACCCCCAAAATTACCCCAAAATTACCCCCAAATTAACCCAAAATTACCCCAAAATTACCCCAAAATTGCCCCAAAATTAACCCACAATTAACCCACAATTACCCCAAAATTAACCCCAAAATTACCCCCAAATTAACCCAAAATTACCCCCAAATTAACCCCAAAATTACCCCAAAATTAACCCAAAATTACCCCAAAATTAACCCCAAAATTAACCCACAATTACCCCCAAAATTACCCCCAAAATTACCCCAAAATTAACCCACAATTAACCCACAATTACCCCCAAAATTACCCCAAAATTACCCCAAAATTACCCCCCCAAAATTAACCCAAAATTAACCCCAAAATTACCCCCAAAATTACCCCAAAATTAACCCAAAATTACCCCAAAATTACCCCACAATTAACCCAAAATTACCCAAAATTTGGGGATTTTGGGGGTGTCCCTGAGGCTTTATTGGGGTCGGTTTTGGGGTCCTGCAGGGAATGTGGGGTGACCCAGAGATCTGGGGGTGGGCTCGGGGGTCCCGGGGGTCCCGGGGGTCTCTCGGGGGTTTTTGGGGGTTTTTTTGGGGGGGTTTTTTGGGGGGTTTTTGGGGGTTTTTTGGGGGTCTCTCAGGGGTTTTTTTGGGGTCTCCTGGGGGTTTCCCAGGGGTTTTTTGGGGGTCTCTCAGGGGTTTTTTTGGGGTCTCTCGGGGGTTTTCTTGGGGGTCTCCCAGGGGTCTCCTGGGGGTTTTTTTGGGGGTCTCCCAGGAGTTTTTTTTGGGGTTCTCCCGGGGGTCTCTCAGGGTGTCTCTGAGGGGTTTTTTTGGGGGTCTCCCGGGGTTTTTTTTTGGGTGTCTCAGGGGTCTCCCGGGGGTTTTTTGGGGGTCTCTGAGGGGTTTTTTGGGGGGTCTGTCAGAGGTCTCTCAGGGGTCTCTCAGGGGTTTTTTATGGGGTCTCTTGGGGGTCTCCCGGGGGGTATTTGGGGGTCTCTCAGGGGTTTTTTTGGGGGTTTTTTGGGGGTCTCCCAGGGGTTTTTTGGGGGTCTCTAGGGAGTTTTTCGGGGTCTCTGAGGGGTTTCTTTGGGGGTCTCCCAGGGTTTTTTTGGGTGTCTCCCAGGGGTTTCTCAGGGCTTTTTTGGGGGTCTCTCAAGGGTCCCGGGGGTTTTTCTGGGGGTCTCCTGGGCGTCTCTCAGGGGTCCCGTGGGTCTGTGAGGTGTCCTGGGTGTCTCCCGGGGGGTTTTTTTGGGGGTCTCTCAGGGGTCTCTCAGGGGTTTTTTGGGGGTCTCTCGGGGGTTTTGGGGGTTTTTTTGGGGGGGTTTTTTGGGGGGGTTTTTTGGGGTCTCTCAGGGGTTTTTTGGGGGTCTCTTGGGGGTCTCTCAGGGGTCTGTGGGGCTGTCCCGAGGGTCTCTCGAGGGTTTTTTTGGGGTCTCCCGGGGGTCTCTCAGGGGTGTTTTGGGGGTCTCCCAGGGGTCTCTCGGGGGTTTTTTTGGGGCCTCCCAGGGGTTTTTTTGGGGGTTTCTCTGAGGTTTTTTTGGGGGTCTCCCGGGGGTCTCTCAGGGGTTTTTTTGGGGGTCTCTCAGGGGTCTCTCAGGAGTCTCTCAGGGGTCTCCCAGGGGTTTTTTGGGGGTCTCCCAGGGGTTTTTTGGGGGTCTCTCGGGGGTCTCCCGGGGGGTTTTTTGGGGGGGTCTCTCAGGGGTTTTTTGGGGGTCTCCCGGGGGTTTCCCAGGGGTTTTTTGGGGGTCTCCTGGGGGTTTTTTGGGGATCTCCCGGGTGTCTCTGAGGGGTTTTTTGGGGGTCTCTCAGGGGTCTCCTGGGGGTTTTTTGGGGGTCTCCCGGGGGTTTTTTTTGGGGGTCTCTCAGGGGTCTCTCAGGAGTCTCTCGGGGGTCTCCCAGGGGTTTTTTTTGGGGTCTCCCAGGGGTTTTTTTGGGGGTCTCCCGGGGGTCTCTCAGGGGTCTCTCAGGGTTTTTTTTTGGGGGTCTCCCGGGGGTCTCCTGGGGGTTTTTTGGGGCTCTCACAGGCAGCGGTCGCAGGCGGTCGGTGGCGCCTCCTCCGCCCACGGTCTCGGTGTTGACCGAGGTGGTTTCACTGCCCGGGAGGCTCGCTGGGAATGGGGGCACTGGGTAAACTGGGGGCACTGGGGGGCACTGGGTAAACTGGGGGCACTGGGGGGCACTGGGAATGGGGGCACTGGGTAAACTGGGGGCACTGGGTAAACTGGGGGCACTGGGAATGGGGGCACTGGGTAAACTGGGGGCACTGGGGGGACTGGGAATGGGGGCACTGGGTAAACTGGGGGCACTGGTTAAACTGGGGGCACTGGGTAAACTGGGGGCACTGGGAATGGGGGCACTGGGTAAACTGGGGGGCACTGGGAATGGGGGCACTGGGTAAACTGGGGGGCACTGGGTAAACTGGGGGGCACTGGGGGGCACTGGGTAAACTGGGGGGCACTGGAATGGGGGCACTGGGTAAACTGGGGGGCACTGGGAATGGGGGCACTGGTTAAACTGGGGGGGCACTGGGGGGGTACTGGTTAAACTGGGGGGCACTGGGGGGGTACTGGTTAAACTGGGGAATTTGGGGGGCTGGGGTCAGGGAATGTGGGGGTGTCAGGGTTCAGGGAATTTGGGGTGCCAGGGCTGAGGGAATTTGGGGTGCCCCAGGTCTGGGTTCAGGGAACTTGGGGTGCCCAGGTCTGGGGTCAGGGAATTTGGGGGTGTCAGTGTTTAGGGAATTTGGGGGTGTTTGAGTTCAGGGAATTTGGGGTGCCAGGGTTCAGGGAATTTGGGGTGCCAGCGTTGAGGGAATTGGGGTGCCCAGGTCTGGGAGTTTTGGGGTGCCCAGGTCTGGGTGTTTTGGGGTGCCCAGGTCTGGCAGTTTTGGGGTGCCCAGGTCTGGGTGTTTTGGGGTGCCCCAGGTCTGGGATTTTTGGGGTGCCAGGGTTCAGGGAATTGGGGTGCCCAGGTCTGGGATTTTTGGGGTGCCCAGGTCTGGGTTCAGGGAATTTGGGGGTGCCAGCATTGAGGGATTGGGGTGCCCAGGTCTGGGTGTTTTGGGGTGCCCAGGTCTGGGTGTTTTGGGGTGCCCAGGTCTGGGTTCAGGGAATTTGGGGTGCCCAGGTCTGGGAGTTTCGGGGTGCCCAGGTCTGGGTGTTTTGGGGTGCTCAGGTCTGGGTTCAGGGAATTGGGGTGCCCCGGTCTGGGTGTTTTGGGGTGCTCAGGTCTGGGAGTTTCGGGGTGCCCAGGTCTGGGTGTTTTCAGGGTGCCCAGGTCTGGGTGTTTTGAGGTGCCAGCATTGAGGGAATTTGGGGGTGCCAGGGTTCACGGATTTGGGGTGCTCAGGTCTGGGTGTTTTGGGGTGGCCAAGTCTGGGTTCAGGGAATTTGGGTGCCCAGGTCTGGGAGTTTTGGGGTGCTCAGGTCTGGGTGTTTCGGGGTGCCCAGGTCTGGGATTTTTGGGGGTGCCAGGGTTCAGGGAATTGGGGTGCCCAGGTCTGGGTGTTTTGGGGTGCCAGGGTTCAGGGAATTGGGGTGCCCAGGTCTGGGAGTTTCGGGGTGCCCAGGTCTGGGTGTTTTGGGGTGCCCCGGTCTGGGTTCAGGGAATTTGGGGGTGTTTGGGTTCAGGGATTTGGGGTGCCCAGGTCTGGGTGTTTTGGGGTGCCCAGGGCTACCGTGGGTGTCCGTGGAATGACTGGCGTGGCGCAGCCACTTCAGCCTGGGTTTCCTCTTCCCCATCAGCTCCTCAGCCGTCAGACCTGGGTGAAAGAAACCCCCACGGAGGTTTTGGGGTGCTCAGGATTTTGGGGTCCCCCCCAGGCGTCCATAACCACCCCCCCAGCCCTGCTCACGGTGCCTCTCGTGCTCTCCCTCCTCCTCATCGCCCTCCAGCTCGGCCTGGGTGATCCAGTCCATGTAACCCCTCAGGTCCTCCTCCAGCTGCTGCTTCTCACGGAGCTTCTGGAAATCTCCGCGGGCTTTGGCCTTTTCGCGCTCCTTGGAGAATTCGCTGCGGAGGGGGCATGGGGGTGACACCCACAAAAAAATGGCAAAAATGACAAGGTGTGATCCCCCCAAAAATGCCAAAAAATCCCCCCAAAATCCCCCCAAAAAATCCCAAAAAAGCCAAGGTGTGATCCCCTAAAAATCCCAAAAAATCCCCAAAATTATAAGGTGTGATCCCCCCCAAAAATGCCAAAAATGCCAAGGTGCGACACCCCTAAAAATGCCAAGGTGTGACCCCCCCAAAAAATCCCCTCAAAATCGCCAAAAAATCCCAAAAATCCCCAAAAATGCCAAGGTGTGACCCCCAAAAATGCAAAGGTGTGACCCCCCCCCAAAAAATCCCAAAAATGCCAAGGTGTGCCCCCCCCCAAAAAAATCCCCCCAAAAAATCCCCAAAAATGCCAAGGGGTGACGCCCCAAAAAATCCCCAAAATGCCAAGGTGTGACCCCCCCAAAAATGACAAAAATGCCAAGGTGTGACCCACAGAAAAATGCCAAAAATGCCAAGGTTTGATTCCCCCAAAAATGCCAAAAATGCCAAGGTGTGACACACAAAAAAAATGCCAAAAATGTCAAGGTGTGACCCCCCAAAAATGCCAAAAATGCCAACATGTGACGCCCCTCAAAAAATCCCCCCAAAATCCCAAAAAAATCCCAAAAAAATCCCCAAAAATGCCAAGGTGTGACCCCCCCCAAAAAATCCCCCCAAAATCCCAAAAAAAATCCCCAAAAATCCCCAAAAATCCCCAAAAATGCCAGGGTGTGATCCCCTAAAAATCCCCAAAATGCCAAGGTGTGACCTCCCCAAAAAAATCCCCCCAAAATCCCCAAAAAAATCCCAAAAATCCCCAAAAATGCCAAGGTGTGACCCCCCCCAAAAAATCCCCAAAAATCCCAAAAATGCCAAGGCGGACCCCCCCCAAAAATGCAAAGGTGTGACACCCCAAAAATGCCAAAAATGCCAAGGTGTGACCCACAAAAAATGCCAAAAATACCAAGGTGTGACCCCCCAAAAATGCCAAGGTGTGACCCCCAAAAAATGCCAAAAATGCCAACGTGTGACGCCCCTCAAAAAATCCCCCCAAAATCCCAAAAAAATCCCCAAAAAAATCCCAAAAAATCCCCAAAAATGCCAAGGTGTGACCCCCCAAAAATGCCAAAAATGCCAACGTGTGACGCCCCTCAAAAAATCCCCCCAAAATCCCAAAAAAATCCCCAAAAATGCCAAGGTGTGACCCCCCCAAAAAAAATCCCCCCAAAATCCCAAAAAAATCCCCAAAAATCCCCAAAAATGCCAAGGTGTGACCCCCCAAAAATCCCCCCAAAATCCCCCAAAAATCCCAAAAAATCCCCAAAATTGCCAAGGTGTGACACACAAAAATGCCAAAAATGTCAAGGTGTGACACCCCCAAAAATGCCAAGGTGTGACCCCCCAAAAATGCCAAAAATGCCAAGGTGTGACCTCCCAAAAATGCCCAAAAAATGCCAAGGTGTGACCCCCAAAAATCCCAAAAAATCCCCCCAAAATCCCCAAAAAAATCCCAAAAAAATCCCCAAAAATGCCAAGGTGTGATCCCCTAAAAATCCCAAAAAATCCCCAAAAATGCCAAGGTGTGATCCCCCCAAAAATGCCAAAAAATGACAAGGTGTGACCCCCCCCAAAAAATCCCCCAAAAAATCCCAAAAATGCCAAGGTGTGACCCCCCAAAAATGAAAATGCCAAAAATGCCAAAAATGCCAAAAATGACAAGGTGTGACCCCCCCAAAAATGCCAAAAAATCCCCCCCAAAATCCCCCAAAAATCCCAAAAAATCCCCAAAAATGCCAAGGTGTGACACACAAAAATGCCAAAAATGTCAAGGTGTGACCTCCCCAAAAATGCCAAGGTGTGACACCCAAAAAATGCCAAAAATGCCAAGGTGTGACCCCCAAAAATGCCAAAAATGCCAAGGTGTGACACACAAAAACATGCCAAAAATGACAAGGTGTGACCCCCCAAAAAATCCCCAAAAATGCCAAGGTGTGACCCCCCAAAAAATCCCCAAAAATGCCAAGGTGTGACGCCCCTCAAAAAATCCCCCCCAAATCCCAAAAAACTCCCCAAAAAATCCCCAAAAAATCCCCAAAAAATCCCAAAAAATCCCCAAAAATGCCAAGGTGTGATCCCCTAAAAATCCCAAAAAATCCCAAAAAATCCCCAAAATTATAAGGTGTGATCCCCCCCAAAAATCACAAAAATGCCAAGGTGTGACCCTCAAAAATGCCAAGGTATGACGCCCCCCAAAAAATCCCCCCAAAATCCCAAAAAAATCCCCAAAAATCCCCAAAAATGCCAAGGTGTGACCCCCCCAATAACCCCAAAAATGCTGAGGTGTGACCCTCAAAAATGTCAAAATGTGGCCCCCCAAAAATGCCAACATGTGACGCCCCTCAAAAAATCCCCCCAAAAGCCCAAAAAAATCCCAAAAAATCCCCAAAAAATGCCAAGGTGTGACCCCCCCAAAAAATCCCCAAAAATCCCCAAAAATGCCAAGGTGTGACCCCCCCCAAAATCCCAAAAAAAAACCCAAAAAATCCCCAAAAAATCCCCAAAAATGCCAAGGTGTGACCCCCCCAAAAAATCCCCAAAAATGCCAAGGTGTGATGCCCCCAAAAATGACAAAAATGCCAAGGTGTGACCCCCCAAACAACCCCCAAAAATGCTGAGGTGTGACCCCCCCAAATAACCCCAAAAATGCTGAGGTGTGACCCCCCCAAATAACCCCAAAAATGCTGAGGTGTGACCCTCAAAAATGTCAAGGTGTGAACCCCCCAAAAATGACAAAAATGCCAAGGTGTGACGCCCCTCAAAAAATCCCCCCAAAATCCCAAAAAAATCCCCAAAAATGCCAAGGTGTGACGCCCCTCAAAAAATCCCCCCAAAATCCCCAAAAAAATCCCAAAAATCCCCAAAAATGCTAAGGTGTAACCCCCCCCAAAAAATCCCCCCAAAATCCCAAAAAAATCCCCAAAAAATCCCAAAAAAATCCCCAAAAATGCCAGGGTGTAATCCCCTAAAAATCCCCAAAATGCCAAGGTGTGACCTCCCCAAAAAAAATCCCCCAAAATCCCCAAAAAAATCCCAAAAATCCCCAAAAATGCCAAGGTGTGACCCACAAAAAAATGCCAAAAATGCCAAGGTGTGACCCCCCAAAAATGCCAAGGTGTGACCCCCAAAAAATGCCAAAAATGCCAACATGTGACGCCCCTCAAAAAATCCCCCCAAAATCCCAAAAAAACTCCCCAAAAAATCCCAAAAAATCCCCAAAAATGCCAAGGTGTGACCCCCCAAAAATCCCCAAAAATCCCAAGGTGTGATTCCCCTAAAAATCCCCAAAATGCCAAGGTGTGACCTCCCCAAAAAAATCCCCCCAAAATCCCCAAAAAAAATCCCAAAAATCCCCAAAAATGCCAAGGTGTAACCCCTAAAAATCCCAAAAAATCCAAAAAAATCCCCAAAATTATAAGGTGTGATCCCCCCCAAAAATCCCAAAAATGCCAAGGTGTGACCCTCAAAAATGCCAAGGTATGACGCCCCCAAAAAAATCCCCCCAAAATCCCAAAAAAATCCCAAAAAATCCCCAAAAATGCCAAGGTGTGACCCCCCCAATAACCCCCAAAAATGCTGAGGTGTGACCCTCAAAAATGTCAAAATGTGGCCCTCAAAAATGTCAAGGGGTGACCCACAAAAAATGCCAAAAATGTCAAGGTGTGACCCCCCAAAAATGCCAAAAATGCCAACGTGTGACGCCCCCCCAAAATATTCCCCCAAAAAAATCCCAAAAAAATCCCAAAAAATCCCCAAAAATGCCAAGGTGTGACCCACAAAAAAATGCCAAAAATGCCAAGGTTTGATTCCCTCAAAAATGCCAAGGTGTGATGCCCCCAAAAATACCAAAAATGCCAAGGTGTGACACCCCCCAAAATGGCAAAAATGCCAAGGTGTGACCCCCCAAAAAACCCCCAAAAATGCTGAGGTGTGACCCCCCCAAATAACCTCAAAAATGCTGAGGTGTGACCCTCAAAAATGTCAAGGTGTGACCCCCCAAAAATGCCAAGGTGTGACCCCCCAAAAGTCCCACAAATGCCAAGGTGTGGCCCCCCAAAAATGCAAAGGTGTGACCCCCCAAAAAATGCCAAAAATGCCGAGGTGTGATGCCCCCCAAAAAATCCGCCCAAAATCCCCAAAAAATCCCAAAAAATCCCCAAAAATGCCAAGGGTGTGACCCCCCCAAAAAATCCTCAAAATGCCAAGGTGTGACCCCCCCAAAAATCCCAAAAATGCCAAGGTGTGATCCCCAAAAAAACCCAGAAAATCCCAAAAAATCCCCCCAAAATCCAAAAAAAATCCAAAAAAAAATCCCAAAAATGCCAAGGTGTGACACACCAAAAATCCCAAAATCCCAAGGTGTGATCCCCAAAAATCCCAAAAATGCCAAGGTGTGACCCCCCCCAAAAATCCCAAAAATGCCAAGGTTTGATTCCCAAAAAATCCCAAAAATGCCAAGGTGTGATGCCTCAAAAAATCCCAAAAAATTCCAATAAATCCCAAAAACGCCAAGGTGTGACTCCCCAAAAAATCCCAATAAATCCCAAAAATGCCAAGGTGTGACCCCCCCAAAAAATCCCAGAAAATTCCAATAAATCCCAAAAATGCCAAGGTGTGATCCCCCCAAAAAATTCCAATAAATCCCAAAAATCCCAAGATGTGAACCCCCAAAAAACCCCAAAAATCCCAAAAAATCCCCCCAAAATCAAAAAAAAATCCAAAAAAAAATCCCAAAAATGCCAAGGTGTGACACACCAAAAATCCCAAAAATCCCAAGGTGTGATCCCCCAAAAATCCCAAGGTGTGATCCCCAAAAATCCCAAAAATGCCAAGGTTTGATTCCCCAAAAAATCCCAAAAATGCCAAGGTGTGATGCCTCAAAAAATCCCAAAAAATTCCAATAAATTCCAAAAATGCCAAGATGTGACGACCCCCCCCAAAAAAACCCCAAAAATCCCAAGGTGTGACCCCCCAAATAACCCCAAAAAAGCCAAGGTGTGATCCCCAAAAAAACCACAAAAATCCCAAAAAATCCCCCCAAAATCCCCAAAAAATTAAAAAAAAATGCCAAAAATACCAAGGTGTGATGCCTCAAAAAAATCCCCAAAAAATTCCAATAAATCCCAAAAATCCCAAGGTGTGACCCCCAAAAAAATCCCAGAAAATCCCCAAAATGATAAGGTGTGACCTCCAAAAAATCCCAAAAAATCCCAAAAATGCCAAGGTGTGACTCCCCAAAAAATCTCAAAAAATTCCAATAAATCCCAAAAATGCCAAGGTGTGACACACCAAAAATCCCAAAATCCCAAGGTCTGATCCCCCAAAAATCCCAAGGTGTGATCCCCAAAAATCCCAAAATAGGTGAACAAGGTATGACCCCCCCCAAATAACCCCAAAAATGCCAAGGTGTGACCCCCCCAAAAATCCCAAAAATGCCAAGGTTTGATGCCTCAAAAAATCCCAAAAAATCCCAAAATTATAAGGTGTGATCCCCAAAAAAATCCCAGAAAATCCCAGAAAATCCCCAAAATGATAAGGTGTGATGCCTCAAAAAATCCCAAAAAATCCCAGAAAATTCCAATCAATCCCAAAAATGCCAAGGTGTGACCCCCCAAAAATCCCAAAGGTGTGAGCCCCCAAAAAATCCCAAAAAATTCCAATAAATCCCAAAAATGCCAAGATGTGACCCCCCCAAAAAATCCCAAAAAAATCCCAGAAAATCCCAAAAAATCCCAAAAAATCCCAAAAAATCCCCAAACCCCGCTTTGTGTCCCCCTCACCCGCTGAGCACCCCCAGGACGAGGTTGAGGACGAAGAAGGAGCCGAAGATGACGAGGCTGACGAAGTAAATCCAGGGCAGCTCGTGCCCCATGGCGTCCTGCATCTGTTGGGGGGCAAAATTGGGGTGAACGGGGGGTCCCCAAAAAAATCAGGGAATTTTGGGGGGGGCTCAGGGATTTGTATGTGAGGATTTTGGGGTCTCAGTGATTTGTATGAGGATTTTGGGGGGCTCAGGGAGAATTTTGGGGGTTTCAGGGGAGGTGTTTTGAGGATTTTGGGGGCTCAGAGATTTTTATGAGGATTTTGGGGGGCTCAGGGAGAATTTTGGGGGTTTCAGGGGAGGTGTTTTGAGGATTTTGGGGGTCTCAGTGATTTGTATGAAGATTTTGGGGGTCTCAGGGATTTGTGTGAGGATTTTGGGGGGTCAGGAAGGGGTTATGAGAATTTTGGGGGAAATCAATAATTTATATGAGGATTTTGGGGAGCTCAGGGATTTCTGTGAGGATTTTGGGGGTCTCAGGGATTTTTATGAGGATTTTGGGGGGGGCTCAGTGATTTGTGTGAGGATTTTGGGGTCTCTCAATGATTTATATGAGAATTTTGGGGGTCTCAGGGATTTTTATGAGGATTTTGGGGGGGGTCAGGGATTTGTGTGAGGATTTTGGGGGGTCTCAGTGATTTATGTGAGGATTTTGGGGGGCTCAGGGAGGGGTTCTGAGGATTTTGGGGGAAATCAATAATTTATATGAGGATTTTGGGGGCTCGGGGATTTTTCTGTGGATTTTGGGGTCTCACTGATTTATGTGAGAATTTTGGGGGGGGTCTCAGTGATTTTTATGTGGATTTTGGGGTCTCATTGATTTATGTGAGGATTTTGGGGGCCTCATTGATTTATATGAGAATTTTGGGGGGTCTCAGTGATTTTTATGAGAATTTTGGGGGTCTCAATGATTTATGTGAGGATTCTGCTGGAGCTCAATGATTTACATGAGAATTTTGGGGATCTCAATGATTTATATGAGAATTTTGGGGATCTCATTGATTTATGTGAGGATTGGGGGGGGGTCTCAATGATTTATATAAGAATTTTAGGGGTCTCACTGATTTATATGAAAACTTTGGGATCTCAGTGATTCATATGAAAATTTTGGGGCTCTCAGGGCTCTCACCCAGTAGAGAGCATCAGTCCAGCCCTCCATGGTGATGCACTGGAACACGGTGAGCTCAGAGAGGGTTTGTAAGGATTTTGGGGGCCTCACTGATTTATATGAGAATTTTGGGGGGTCCCAATGATTTGTGTTAGGATTTTGGGGATCTCAGTGATTTATATGAGTATTTTACCGGTGTCACTGATTTTTATGAGAATTTTGGGGATCTCACTGATTTCGGGGGCTCTCACCCAGTAGAGCACATCCGTCCATCCCTCCATGGTGATGCACTGGATTTGGGGGAACTCAGGGATGGTTTGTAAGGATTTTGGGGGTCTCAGTGATTTGTATGAGAATTTTGGGGGGTCTCAGTGATTTATATGAAATTTTTGGGGATCTCACTGATTTTTATGAGAATTTTGGGGCTCTCAGGGCTCTCACCCAGTAGAGCACGTTGGTCCAGCCCTCCATGGTGATGCACTGGATTTGGGGAGGCTCAGGGATGGTTTATAAGGATTTTGGGGCTCTCAGTGATTTGCATGACGATTTTTGGGGCTCTCAGTGATTTTTATGAGAATTTCGGGGCTCTCAGTGATTTCAGGGGCTCTCACCCAGTACAGCACATCAATCCATCCCTCCATGGTGATGCACTGGAACACAGTAAGCTCAGGGATGGTTTATAAGGATTTTGGGGGTCTCACTGATTTATATGAGAATTTTGGGGTCTCAATGATTTATGTGAGGATTTGGGGGTCTCATTGATTTGTGTGAGAATTTTAGGGGGTCTCACTGATTTATATGGGAATTTTGGGGATCTCACTGATTTTTATGAGAATTTTGGGGCTCTCAGGGCTCTCACCCAGTAGAGCACATCAGTCCAGCCCTCCATGGTGATGCACTGGAACACGGTGAGCTCGGGGATGGTTTATATGGATTTTGGGGATCTCACTGAGTTTTATGAGAATTTTGGGGCTCTCAGTGATTTCGGGGCTCTCACCCAGTAGAGCACATCCGTCCAGCCCTCCATGGTGATGCACTGGATTTGGGGGGGCTCAGGGATGGTTTGTAAGGATTTTGGGGCTCTCAGGGGTCTCACCCAGTAGAGCACATCAGTCCAGCCCTCCATGGTGATGCACTGGAACACAGTGTGCTTGGGGATGGTTTGTAAGGATTTTGGGGGTCTCAATGATTTATATGAGAATTTTGCGGGGCTCAGGAAGGGGTTATGAGAATTTTGGGGATCTCAGTGATTTTTATGAGAATTTTGGGGCTCTCAGGGCTCTCACCCAGTAGAGCACATCGGTCCAGCCCTCCATGGTGATGCACTGGAACACGGTGAGCATGGCGAAGAAGAAGTTGTCGAAGTTGGTGATGCCGCCGTTGGGGCCCTCCCAGCGGCCGCGGCACTCGGTGTTGTTCTGCAGGCAGGCGCGCCCGTGCCCCGAGAACGCGCAGGGCGAGGGATCGTCCTCGGACTCCAGGTCTGGGGACAGGGACAGGGACCCCGGTGACAGCCCCGGGCAGGGCAGGGCCCCCTGGGTGTCCCAAAGGGGCGCCTGAGGGTGCTGGGAATTGCTGGGCATTGTGCGGGTGGAACCTCGGCCTTGCGGAAATTGGTGCTCCTGCTCCAAATTCCTGCTGAAAATTCCTGCTCCAAATTCCCCTTGCTGCTCCAAATTCCTGCTCCAAATTCCTGCTCCAAATTTCCCTTGCTGCTCAAAATTCCTGCTCCAAATTCCTGCTCGAAATTCCTGCTCGAAATTCCTGCTCCAAATTCCCCTTGCTCAAAATTCCTGTTAAAAATTCTGTGCCTGCTCAAAATTCCTGCTCGAAATTCCTGCCCAAAATTCTGCTCAAAATTCTCCTTGCTGCTCAAAATTCCTGTCCAAAATTCTGCTCAAAATTCCCCTTGCTGCTCAAAATTCCTGTTAAAAATTCTGTGCCTGCTCAAAATTCCTGCCCAAAATTCCCGCTCTAAATTCCCGCTCAAAATTCCTGCTCGAAATTCCTGTTCTAAATTCCCCTTGCTGCTCGAAATTCCGGCTCGAAATTCCTGCTCAAAATTCCTGTTGGAAATTCCCCTTGCTGCTCCAAATTCCTGCTTGAAATTCCTGCTCGAAATTCCTGTTCTAAATTCCCCTTGCTGCTCAAAAATTCTGTTCCTGCTGAAAATTCCTGCTCGAAATTCCCCTTGCTGCTCCAAATTCCTGCTCCAAATTCCCCTTGCTGCTCCAAATTCCTGCTCGAAATTCCTGCTTGAAATTCCTGTTCTAAATTCCCCTTCCTGCTCGAAATTCCTGCCCAAAATTCCTGCTCGAAATTCCCCTTGCTGCTCAAAATTCCTGCTCGAAATTCCTGTTGGAAATTCCCCTTCCTGCTCAAAATTCCCGTTCCTGCTGAAAATTCCTGCTCAAAATTCCCCTTCCTGCTCAAAATTCCTGTTGAAAATTCCTGTCCCTGCTGAAAATTCCTGCTCAAAATTCCCGTTCCTGCCCAAAATTCCTGCTCAAAATCCCTGCTCGAAATTCTGCTCGAAATATTCCTGCTCAAAATCCCTGCTCGAAATTCTGCTCGAAATTCCTGCTCGAAATTCCTGCTCGAAATTCCTGCCCAAAATTCTGCTCAAAATTCTCCTTGCTGCTCGAAATTCCAGCTCGAAATTCCTGCTCAAAATTCCCATTCCTGCTCGAAATTCCTGCTCAAAATTCCTGCTCAAAATTCCTGCTCCATATTCCCCTTGCTGCTCAAAAATTCTGTTCCTGCTGAAAATTCCTGCTCGAAATTCCCCTTCCTGCTCAAAATTCCTGTTAAAAATTCTGTGCCTGCTCAAAATTCCTGCTCGAAATTCCGCTCAAAATCCCTGCTCGAAATTCCTGCTCGAAATTCCTGCTCAAAATTCCTGCTCGAAATTCCCGTTCCTGCCCGAAATTCCTGCTCGAAATTTCTGCTCTAAATTCCCATCCCTGCTGAAAATTCCTGCTCGAAATTCCCCTTGCTGCTCAAAATTCCTGCTTGAAGTTCCTGCTCAAAATTCCTGCTCAAAATTCCCCTTCCTGTTCAAAATTCCTGCTCAAAATTCCCATTCCTGCTGAAAATTCCCCTTGCTGCTCAAAATTCCTGTTCCTGCTGAAAATTCCTGCTCTAAATTCTGCTCGAAATTCCCCTTGCTGCTCGAAATTCCTGCTCAAAATTCCTGTCCCTGCTCAAAATTCCTGCTCGAAATTCCCCTTGCTGCTCAAAATTCCTGCTCAAAATTCTCCTTCCTGCTCAAAATTCCCGTTCCTGCTCAAAATTCCTGTTCAAAATTCTCGTCCCTGCTGAAAATTCCTGTTAAAAATTCCCGTTCCTGCTCAAAATTCCTGCTCAAAATTCCCATTGCTGCTCAAAATTCCTGCTCAAAATTCCTGCCCAAAATTCTTGCTCCGAAATTCCCCTTCCTGCTCAAAATTCCTGTTAAAAATTCCTGTCCCTGCTGAAAATTCCTGCTGAAAATTCCTGCTCAAAATTCCTGTCCCTGCTCAAAATTCCTGTTCAAAATTCTGTTCCTGCTGAAAATTCCTGCTCAAAATTCATCTTCCTGCTGAAAATTCTTGTTGGAAATTCCTGTCCTTGCTAAAATTCGTGTTCTTGATGAAATTCCTGTCCCTGCTAAAATTCTTGTTAAAAATTCTGCTCCTGTTGAAAATTCCTGTCCCTGCTGTGGGGCTCTCAGGATTTTTGGGGGTGTGGTGTCCTCAATGTGAGGATCCCAATCCCTGACCTGGAGCACCCGGGGATCACCAAGGGGGACTCGGGGGGGTGTCCCTGACCCTTGGGGTGCCCCTGATCTGGGGGTGTCCCTGACCCTTGGGGTGTCCCTGGGGGGTGTCCCTGACTCTTGGGGGTGTCCCTGACCCTTGGGGTGTCCCCTGACCCTTTGGGGTGTCCCTGACCCTTTGGGGCGCCCCAGGACCCTTGGGGTGTCCCTGACCCTTTGGGGTGCCCCTGACCCTTGGGGTGTCCCAGATCTGGGGGTGCCCCTGACCTTTGGGGTGCCCCTGACCCTTGGGGTGCCCCATATCTGGGGGTGTCCCTGACCTGGGGGTGTCCCCTGACCCTGGGGGTGCCCCTGATCTGGGAGTGTCCCTGACCCTTGGGGTGTCCCTGGGAGTGTCCCTGACCCTGGGGGTGCCCCTGGGGGTGTCCCTGACCCTTGGGGTGCCCCTGACCCTGGGGGTGTCCCTGACCCTTGGGGGTGTCCCAGATCTGGGGGTGTCCCTGACCCTTGGGGGTGCCCCTGACCCTTGGGGTGTCCCAGATCTGGGGGTGCCCCTGACCCTTGGAGTGCCCCAGATCTGGGGGTGTCCCTGACCCTGGGGGTGTCCCTGCCCCTTGGGGTGTCCCTTGGGGTGTCCCTGACCCTGGGGGGTGCCCCTGACCCTTGGGGTGTCCCTGACCCTTGGGGTGTCCCTGACCCTGGGGGTGTCCCAGACCCTGGAGGTGCCCCAGATCTTGGGGTGTCCCTGACCCTTGGGGTGCCCCTGACCTTGGGGGTGTCCCCTGACACTTTGGGGTGTCCCTGACCCTGGAGGTGCCCCAGATCTGGGGGTGCCCCAGACCCTTGGGGTGTCCCAGACCCTGGGGGTGCCCCTGACCCTGGGGGTGCCCCTGACCCTGGGGGGTGTCCCTGACCCTGGGGGTGCCCCTGACCCTTGGGGGTGCCCCTGACCCTTGGGGTGTCCCTGACCCTTTGGGGCGCCCCAGACCCTTGGGGTGTCCCTGACCTTGGGGGTGCCCCTGACCCCTGGGATGTCCCTGACCCTGGGGGTGTCCCTGACCCTTGGGGCTGTCCCTGACCCTTGGGGTGTCCCTGGGGGTGTCCCTGACCCTTGGGGTGCCCCAGATCTGGGGGTGTCCCTGACCCTGGGGGTGTCCCTGATCTGGGGGTGTCCCTGACCCTTGGGGTGTCCCTGGGGGTGTCCCTGACCCTTGGGGTTGCCCCAGATCTGGGGGTGTCCCTGACCCTGGGGGTTGCCCCAGATCTGGGGGGTGCCCCTGACCCTTGGGGGGTGTCCCTGACCCTTGGGGTGTCCCCTGACCCTGGGGGTGTCCCTGGGGGTGCCCCTGACCCTGAGGGTGTCCCTGACCCTGGGGGGTGCCCCAGATCTGGGGGTGTCCCTGACCTGGGGGTGTCCCTCACCCTGGGGGTGCCCCTGACCCTGGGGGTGTCCCTGACCCCTGGGGGTGTCCCTGACCCTTGGGGGGTGTCCCTGACCCTGGGGCTATCCCCTGACCCTTGGGGTGTCCCTGACCTTGGGGGTGTCCCTGGGGGTGTCCCCTGACTCTTGGGGGTGTCCCTGACCCTTGGGGTGTCCCCTGACCCTGGGGCTATCCCTGACCCTGGGGAGTGACCCTGGGGGTGTCCCTGACCCTTGGAGTGCCCCAGATCTGGGGGTGCCCTGACCCTGGGGGTGTCCCCTGACCCTGGGGGGTGTCCCTGACCCTGGGGGTGTCCCTGGGGGTGTCCCTGACCCTTGGGGTGTCCCCCGACCCTTGGGGTGCCCCAGATCTGGGGGGTGTCCCTGACCCTGGGGGTGTCCCTGACCCTTGGGGTGCCCCTGACCCTGGGGGTGCCCCAGATCTGGGGGTGCTCCTGATCTGGGGGGTGTCCCTGACCCTGGGGGTGTTCCTGACCCTTGGGGTGCCCCTGACCCTTGGGGTGCCCCAGATCTGGGGGTGTCCCTCACCCTGGGGGTGTCCCTGACCCTTGGGGGTGTCCCTGGGGGTGTCCCTGACCCTGGGGGTGTCCCTGACCCTTGGGGTGTCCCAGACCCTGGGGGTGCCCCTGACCCTGGGGGTGTCCCTGGGGGTGTCCCTGACCCTTGGGGGTGTCCCTGACCCTTGGGGTGCCCCTGACCCTGGGGGTGTCCCAGATCTGGGGGTGCCCCTGACCCTGGGGGGTGTCCCTGACCCTTGGGGCGCCCCAGACCCTTGGGGTGCCCCAGATCTGGGGGTGCCCCTGACCCTTGGGGTGCCCCCTGACCCTGGGGGTGTCCCTGACCCTGGGGGTGCCCCTGACCCTTGGGGTGTCCCCTGACCCTTTGGGGTGTCCCTGACCCTGGGGGTGTCCCTGACCCTGGGGGTGCCCCAGATCTGGGGGTGTCCCCTGACCCTTGGGGTGCCCCAGATCCGGGGGTGTCCCTGACCCTTGGGGTGCCCCAGATCCGGGGGTGTCCCTGACCCTGGGGGTGCCCCCAGATCTGGGGGTGTCCCTCACCCTGGGGGTGTCCCTGACCCTTGGGGGTGTCCCTGACCCTTGGGGTGTCCCCTGGGGGTGTCCCTGACCCTTGGGGTGCCCCAGATCTGGGGGTGCCCCTGACCCTTGGGGTGTCCCTGAATCCCTGACCATGGGGGTGCCCCTGACCCTGGGGGTGCCCCTGACCCTGGGGGTGTCCCTGACCCTTGGGGTGCCCCTGACCCTTGGGGTGTCCCTGGGGGTGCCCCTGACCCTTGGGGTGCCCCAGATCCGGGGGGTCCCAGCCCCGGTGTGACCCCACCCACCGGAGCCGATGAAGAAGCAGGTCTTGTGCATGCGGCCGATGAAGAGCTCGAGGCCGATGATGGCGTAGATGATGATGACGAAGAGCACGAGCAGCGCGATGTGCAGCAGCGGCACCATGGCCTTCATGATGGAGTTGAGCACGATGTGGAGACCTGGGGGGGACACGGGGAAAGGGGGGTGAGAAGGAGATGATGGAGGAGAAGGTGATGGAGAAGAAGCTGATGGAGAAGAAGATGATGGAGAAGAAGATGATGGAGAAGCTGATGGAGGAGAAGCTGAAGGACAAGAAGCTGAAGGAGAAGAAGCTGAAGGAGGAGAAGCTGATGGAGAAGAAGCAGATGGAGAAGAAGATGATGGAGAAGAAGGTGAAGGAGAAGAAGATGATGGAGGAGAAGCTGAAGGAGAAGCTGATGGAGAAGCTGATGGAGAAGAAGCTGAAGGAGAAGAAGCTGAAGGAGGAGAAGCTGATGGAGGAGAAGCTGATGGAGAAGAAGCTGAAGGAGGAGAAGCAGAAGGACAAGAAGCTGAAGGAGAAGAAGCTGATGGAGAAGAAGATGATGGAGAAGAAGCTGAAGGAGAAGAAGATGATGGAGAAGAAGCTGAAGGAGAAGAAGCTGAAGGAGAAGATGAAGGAGAAGAAGCTGAAGGAGAAGAAGCTGAAGGAGGAGAAGCTGAAGGAGGAGAAGCTGATGGAGAAGAAGATGATGGAGAAGAAGCAGAAGGAGAAGAAGATGATGGAGAAGAAGATGATGGAGAAGAAGCAGAAGCTGAAGGAGCTGATGGAGAAGAAGATGATGGAGAAGAAGATGATGGAGAAGAAGATGATGGAGAAGAAGCAGAAGCTGAAGGAGCTGATGGAGAAGAAGATGATGGAGGAGAAGCTGATGGAGAAGCTGAAGGAGAAGAAGCAGATGGAGAAGAAGCTGATGGAGAAGAAGCTGATGGAGAAGAAGCTGATGGAGGAGAAGCTGAAGGAGGAGAAGCTGAAGGAGAAGCTGATGGAGAAGAAGCTGATGGAGAAGAAGCAGAAGGAGAAGAAGATGATGGAGAAGAAGCTGAAGGAGAAGAAGCTGAAGGAGAAGCTGATGGAGAAGAAGCTGATGGAGAAGCTGATGGAGGAGAAGCTGAAGGAGGAGAAGCTGATGGAGAAGAAGCTGAAGGAGAAGATGAAGGAGAAGAAACTGATGGAGAAGAAGCTGAAGGAGAAGAAGCTGAAGGAGAAGCTGATGGAGAAGAAGCTGAAGGAGAAGAAGCTGATGGAGAAGAAGCTGATGGAGAAGAAGCTGAAGGAGAAGAAGGTGAAGGAGAAGAAGCTGATGGAGAAGCTGAAGGAGAAGAAGCTGGGGGAGAAGAAGCTGGGGGAGAAGAAGCTGAAGGAGAAGAAGCTGGAGGAGGAGAAGCTGATGGGGAAGAAGCTGAAGGAGGAGAAGCTGAAGGAGAAGAAGCTGATGGAGAAGAAGCTGAAGGAGAAGAAGCTGATGGGAGACCCCAAACCCCCCAAATTTGTCCCCCTCAGGTCTCACTGGGGACGCCGGAGACGAGGCGCAGCGGGCGCAGGACGCGGAAGGCGCGCAGGGCCTTGACGTCGAATCCGCCCGGCTTGCCGCTCATGTGGTGGGCGTCCCCCGGCTTGTGGGACACCTGCTCCAGGATGACGCTGAACAGCCTGCGGGGACACCAGGAGGTCACAGAGCTCCTGAGGCCACCGCGTCCCCCGGGGCTGTGTCCCCCCCGCGTCCCCCGGAGAGGCGGCTCGGACCCGACGATGACGATGACGAAGTCCAGCAGGTTCCAGCCGTTGCGGATGTAGGCGCTGGGGTGCAGCACCAGCCCGTAGGCGATGATCTTCAGGAAGGTCTCCACGGTGAAGATGATGAGGAACACGTACTCCACCTGCTCCTGGAGGGGTGAAATGGGTGGGTGGGGTCAGCAACCCATGAGTGAGGGGGTTATGGGGTCACTCAGTGTCCCCTTCCCCTTTTGGGGTCACCCTGACCCCTACTCTAGGAGGACATGTCCATCCCCTCATTGCTCCATCATGAGGATGATGATGAGGAACACGAGCTCCACCTGCTCCTGAGGGGTAAAATGGGCAGGGTGGGGGTCAGCAATCCTTGTTCCAGGGGGTTATGGGGTCACCCAGTGTCCCCTTTCCCTTTTGGGGTCACCCAGTGTCCCCTTTCCCTTTTGGGGACCCCCTTTTCCAGGAGGCCATCTCCATCCCCTCTTTGCTCCACCATGAGGATGATGAGGAACACCTCATGCTCCACCTGCTCCTGAGGGGGCAAAATGGGGCAGGGTGGGGTCAGCAACCCATGAGTGAGTGGGTTATGGGGTCACCCAGTGTCCCCTTCCTCTTTTGGGGTCACCCAGTGTCCCCTTCCCCTTTTGGGGACACCCCAACCCCTCCTCCAGCAGGACATTTCAGGACATCTCCATCCCCTCTTTGCTCCACCATGAGGATGATGAGGAACACGAGCTCCACCTGCTCCTGGAGGGGTGAAATGGGCAGGGTGGGGTCAGCAACCCATGAGTGAGGGGCTTATGGGGTCACCCAGTGTCCCCTTCCTCTTTTGGGGACACCCTGACCCCTACTCTAGAAGGCCATGTCCATCCCCTCATTGCTCCACCATGAGGATGATGAGGAACACGAGCTCCACCTGCTCCTGGGGGGCAAAATGGGGAGGGTGGGGTCAGCACCCCCTGATTCAGGGGCTTATGGGTCACTCAGTGTCCCCTTCCTCTTTTGGGGTCACCCTGACCCCTTCTCCAGCAGACATCTCCATCCCCTCATGGCTCCACCATGAGGATGATGATGAGGAACAGGAGCTCCACCTGCTCCTGAGGGGGCAAAAGGGGCAGGGTGGGGTCAACAACCCATGAGTGAGGGGGTTATGGGGTCACCCAGTGTCCCCTTTCTCTTTTGGGGACACCCTGACCCCTTCTCCAGCAGGACATCTCCATCCCCTCATTGCTCCATCATGAGGATGATGATGAGGAACATGAGCTCCACCTGCTCCTGGAGGGGTGAAATGGGCAGGGTGGGGTCAGGAACCCATGAGTGAGGGGGTTATGGGGTCACCCAGTGTCCCCTTTCTCTTTTGGGGTCACCCAGTGTCCCCTTCCCCTTTTGGGGACACCCCAACCCCTCCTCCAGGAGGACATTTCAGGACATCTCCGTCCCCTCATTGCTCCACCATGAGGATGATGATGAGGAACACGAGCTCCACCTGCTCCTTGGGGAGCATGGAGGGTGAGGTGAGGTCAGCACCCCCTGATTCAGGGGCTTATGGGGTCACTCAGTGCCCCCTTCCTCTTTTGGGGTCACCCAGTGTCCCCTTTCTCTTTTGGGGTCACCCTGACCCTTTCTCCAGCAGACATCTCCGTCCCCTCATTGCTCCACCATGAGGATGATGAGGAACAGGAGCTCCACCTGCTCCTGGAGGGGTGAAATGGGCAGGGTGGGGTCAGCAACCCATGAGTGAGGGGGTTATGGGGTCACCCAGTGTCCCCTTTCCCTTTTGGAGTCACCCAGTGTCCCCTTCCCCTTTTGGGGACCCCTGACCCCTTCTCCAGGAGGACATTTCAGGACCTCTCTGTCCCCTCAGCCCCTCCCAGTGTCCCCTTCCCTTTGGGGACAAGGGACAGGAACACTTTGGGACATTTGGGGTCACCGTCCCTTCCTTCGGGGCCTCACCAGATGAGACATTTGGGGTGTCCCGCCCCATTGTCCCCCCCCTCAGGGTGACAAGGGACACTGGGCCCCCCCCAGTCCCCTCCCAGTGTCCCCTTTGTGGGTGACTGGGGCGGCTCAGCCGGGATTAGGTGACAAAGCAGATTAAGGCGGTGGCACAGGCGGGTGACACAGGGACACATCAGCGCAGGGGACACGTGTGGCACGGGGACAGCCCCACCCCCGGGTCCCCATGGCCTCTGTCACCTCCCCAGGGTGTCACCCACACCCCAGGGTGTCCCCACAGCCTCTGTCACCTCCCCAGGGTGTCACCCACACCCCCGGGTCCCACAGCTGCTGCCACCCCCACGGTGCCACCCCTGGCATGTCCCCAAGGTGTCACCCCATGGTGTCACCCTCTGTCACCTCCCCAAGGTGTCACCCTCACCCCCAGGTCCCCACGGCCTCTGCCACCTCCCCAGGGTGCCACCCTCTGTCACTTCCCCAAGGTGTCACAGAGACCCCAGGGTCCCCACAGCCCCTGCCACCACCCCACAGTGTCACCCTCTGTCACCTCCTCAAGGTGTCACCCACACCCCAGGGTCCCCACAGCCTCTGCCACCTCCCCAAGGTGTCACCTCCACCCCCGTGTCCCCACAGCTGCTGCCACCCCATGGTGCCACCCTCTGGGGTGTCACCCCCATCCCCGTGTCCCCATGGCCTCTGTCACCTCCCCAGGGTGTCACAGAGACCCCGGGGTCCCCACAGCCGCTGCCACCCCGCAGTGCCACCCCTGGCGTGTCCCCAAGGTGTCACCCCATGGTGCCACCCTCTGCCAGCTCCCCAAGGTGTCACCCACACCCCCAGGTCCCCACAGCCCCTGCCACCCCAAGGTGTCACCCTCTGGCACCATCCTATGGTGTCACCTCCATCCCACAGCCCCTGCCACCCCACAGTGCCACCCTCTGGGGTGTCACCCCCATCCCTGTGTCCCCACAGCCTCTGTCACCTCCCAAAGGTGTCAACCCATGGTGCCACCCTCTGTCACCTCCCTATGGCGTCAACCCCACCTCCAGGTCCCCACAGCCGCTGCCACCCCACGGTGCCACCCCACGGTGCCACCCCACAGTGCCACCCCCTGTCACCTCTCTACGGTGTCACCTCCATCCCACAGCCCCTGCCACCCCACAGTGCCACCCTCTGTCACCTCCCCAGGGTGTCACCCCCAGCCCAGGGCTCCAGGGTGGGTGACCCCCCCCCCCCCCTTTCCCAGCACCCAATGAAGCCCCCGGGGCAGTGCCCGGGTGGGTCTGGGTCTCTCACCAGGTTCTGATTGGAGCCCCCCATGCCCGGGTGGGTCTGGGGTCCCTCACCAGGTTGTGGTTGGATCCTCCCGTGCCCAGGTGGGTCTGGGGGCGCCCCCCGTGCCCGGGTGGGTCTGGGGTCTCTCACCAGGTTGTGGTTGAAGCCCCCCATGCCCAGGTGGGTCTGGGGTCTCTCACCAGGGTGTGGTTGAAGCCCCCCGTGCCCAGGTGGGTCTGGGGGCGCCCCCCCATGCCTGGGTGGGTCTGGGGGCGCCCCCCCATGCCCAGGTGGGTCTGGGGTCCCTCACCAGGTTGTGGTTGAAGCCCCCCGTGCCCAGGTGGGTCTGGGGTCTCACCAGGTTGTGGTTGGAGGCGTTGGAGTCGTCCTCGGGGAAGGGGATGTAGACGCCCAGGGCCACGCAGTTGGCGAAGATGGTGGCGAGGATGAGGATGTCAAAGGGTCTGGGGGCAAATGGGGGGGGGCAGCGGGTGTGGGGAGGGGTCCACAAGCACCCCAGAGCCCCCCGAGCCCCCCACTCATTTCCACCCCATGATTGGCAGCCCCCAGACCCCCCCAAACCCCCAAATTCCCCCCAAATCCCCCCAATCTCCCCTCACTTCCACTCCACGATGCTGATGGCGACCCCCAGACCCATAGACCCCCCAAACCCCCCCAAATGCCCCCAAATCCCCCCAAACCGCCTCACTTCCACTCCACGATGCTGATGGCCGCCCCCAGACCCCATAGACTCCCAAACCCCCTCACTTCCACTCCACGATTGGCAGCCCCCAGACCCCATAGACCCCCCCAGACCCCCCAAATGCCCCCCAAACCCCCCCAAATCCCCCCAAACCCCCTCACTTCCACTCCACGATGCTGATGGCCGCCCTCCTGACGGGGTTGTTGAGGCGGAGGCAGAAGAGGGCGCGGGGGGAGCGATGGACGCCCCGGAGCCGCCCTGGCTTTGTGCTTGGGGTGGGGGGGGCGGCGCTGCCGCTGCTGCCCCGGGGGGGTCCCCGCAGCCCCCCCGGAGCCCCCCCAGCCCAGCGGCTGCCCCAGGGCCTCGGCCAAGGGGGACAAATCCTTGGGGGGCCCTGGGGAGGGGAGTGGGTGCTCAGGGACAGCCCCGAAAATTTATGGAGCCCCCCAATCTTTATGGACACCCCCGAAGTGTTAGGGACCCCCCAAACCTTTATGGACACCCCCGAATCGTTATGGGCACCCCAAACCTTTATGGACACCCCCAAATCTTTATGGACCCCCCCAAAGCTTTATGGACACCCCCGAATCGTTACGGATACCCCCAAAGGGTTATGGACTCCCCCAAATCTTTATGGATACCCCAAAGCGTTATGGACAGCCCCCCAAATCGTTATGGACACCCCAAAAGCTTTATGGACCCCCCAAATCTTTCCGACCCCCCCCGAATCGTTATGGACACCCCGAGTCGTTATGGACACCCCCCAAACCTTTATGGACACCCCCGAATCTTTATGGACACCCCAAAGCGTTATGGACACCCCCGAACCTTTATGGACACCCCCAAATAGTTATGGACAACCCCCCAAAATCTTTATGGACACCCCGAACCGTTATGGGCCCCCCCAAAGCGTTACGGACACCCCCAAAACCTTTCCAACCCCCCCCAAAGCGTTATGGACACCCCTAAAGCGTTATGGACACCCCCGAATCTTTATGGACACCCCAAACCTTTCCGACACCCCCGAATCGTTATGGACACCCCAAAGCGTTATGGACACCCCCAAAGCTTTACGGACACCCCCAAAGCGTTATGGACACCCCCAAAGCGTTATGGACACCCCCAAGCTTTATGGACACCCCCGAATCGTTATGGACACCCCCAAACCTTTCCGACACCCCCGAATCGTTATGGACACCCCCAAGGCTTTATGGACCCCCCCCCAAATCGTTATGGACACCCCCAAATCTTTATGGACACCCCGAATCGTTAGGGACACCCCGGAATCTTTATGGAGCCCCCCAATCGTTATGGACACCCCCCCCAAACCTTTATGGACACCCCCGAATCTTTATGGACACCCCCAAAGCGTTATGGACACCCCCAAACTTTCCGACCCCCCCCAAATCTTTATGGACCCCCCCCAAAGCGTTATGGACACCCCCGAGGCGTTATGGACACCCCCCCAAAATCTTTATGGACACCCCCGAATCGTTATGGACACCCCGAAACCTTTCCGACCCCCCCTAAATCTTTATGGACCCCCCCCCAAAGCGTTATGGACACCCCCAAAGCTTTATGGACCCCCCCGGACCCCCCCGAATCGCTATAGACACCCCCAAAGCGTTATGGACCCCCCAAATCTTTATGGACACCCCCAAAGCTTTATAGACACCCCCGAATCGTTATGGACCCCCCAAAGCTTTATGGACACCCCCAAAGCGTTATGGACACCCCGAATCGTTGTGGGCACCCCCAAAGCGTTATGGACACCCCCCAAATCGATATGGACCCCCCAAATCGGTATGGACACCCCCAAAGCGTTATGGACACCCCAAACCTTTCCGACCTCCCCCCCAAATCTTTATGGACCCCCCGAATCTTTATGGACACCCCCAAATCTTTATGGACCCCCCGAATCTTTATGGACACCCCCAAAGCTTTATGGACCCCAAAGCGTTATGGACACCCCCAAAGCTTTATGGACCCCCCGAATCTTTATGGACACCCCCAAAGCTTTATGGACACCCCCGAATCGTTATGGACACCCCCAAAGTGTTATGGACACCCCCAAAACTTATGGACACCCCCAAAGCGTTATGGACACCCCCAAAGTGTTATGGACACCCCCAAACTTTTCTGGATCCCTTCCAAATCGTTATGGACACCCTCGAATCTTTATGGACACCCCCCAAACGTTTCCGACCCCCCCAAATCTTTATGGACCCCCCCCAAACCTTTATGGGCACCCCCGAATCTTTATGGACACCCCCAAGGCTTTATGAACACCCCCAAAGCTTTATGGACACTCCCGGACCCCCCCGAATCGTTATGGACACCCCAAAGCTTTATGGACACCCCCAAAGCGTTATGGACACCCCCAAAGTGTTATGGACACCCCCAAAACTTTTCTGGATCCCTTCCAAATCGTTATGGACACCCCCGAATCGTTATGGACCCCCCAAAGCTTTATGGACACCCCCAAAGCGTTATGGACACCCCGAATCGTTGTGGGCACCCCCACCCCCAAAGCGTTATGGACACCCCCAAAGCTTTATGGACACCCCCAAAGCGTTATGGACACCCCCAAAGCTTTATGGACCCCCCCAAACCTTTCCGACCTCCCCTCCAAATCTTTATGGATCCCCCGAATCTTTATGGACATCCCCAAGGCTTTATGGACACCCCCGAATCGTTATGGACACCCCCCAAAGCGTTATGGACACCCCCCCAAAATCTTTATGGATACCCTCGAATCGTTATGGACACCCCCGAATCTTTATGGACACCCCCAAATTTTTCTGGATCCCCCCAAATCTTTATGGACACCCCAAAGCGTTATGGACACTCTCGAATCTTTATGGACACCCCCAAATCTTTATGGACACCCCCGAATCGTTATGGACACCCCGAATCGTTATGGACCCCCCGAATCGTTATGGGCACCCCCGGACCCCCCCGAATCGTTATGGACACCCCAAAATCTTTATGGATACCCCAAATCGTTTATGGACACCCCCAAAGTGTTATGGACACCCCCAAACTTTTCTGGATCCCCTCCAAATCGTTATGGACACCCTCGAATCTTTATGGACACCCCCAAACGTTTCCGACCCCCCCCAAATCTTTATGGACCCCCCCCAAACCTTTATGGGCACCCCCGAATCTTTATGGACACCCCCAAGGCTTTATGGGCACCCCCGAATCTTTATGGACACCCCCAAGGCTTTATGGACACCCCCAAAGCTTTATGGACACCCCGAATCGTTATGGACACCCCCAAAGCGTTATGGACACCCCCAAATCTTTATGGACACCCCCAAATCGTTATGGACACCCCCGATCTTTATGGACACCCCCAAAGCGTTATGGACACCCCCAAATCGTTATGGACACCCCCCCAAAATCTTTATGGACACCCCCAAAGATTTATGGACACCCCGAACCTTTATGGACACCCCAAAACCTTTCCGACACCCCCGAATGGTTATGGACACCCCCAAACTTTTCTGGATCCCCCCAAATCGTTATGGACACCCCCGAATGGTTATGGACACCCCCGAATCGTTATGGACACCCCCCAAATCTTTATGGACACCCCCAAATCTTTCCGACACCCCCAAAGAGTTATGGACACCCCCGAATCGTTATGGACACCCCCAAACTTTTCTGGATCCCCCCGAATCGTTATGGACCCCCCCAAGCGTTATGGACACCCCGAAACCTTTCCGACCCCCCTAAATCTTTATGGACCCCCCCCCCCCCAAAGAGTTATGGACACCCCCAAACTTTTCTGGATCCCCTCCAAAGCGTTATGGACACCCCAAAGCGTTACGGACACCCCCAAACCTTTCCGACCTCCCCCAAAGTTTATGGACACCCCTAAAGCGTTATGGACACCCCCGAATCTTTATGGACACTCCCAAACCTTTCCGACCTCCCCCCCGCATCGTTATGGACACCCCCCAAAGCTTTATGGACCCTCCCGAATCGTTATGGACCCCCCGAATCGTTATGGAGCCCCCCAAAGCGTTATGGACCCCCCCTCCAAACCTTTCCGGACCCCCCCAAACCCTTCTGGACCCCCCCAAATCTTTTTGGAACCCCCCCAAACCTTTTCGGACCCCCCCAAAACCCCCAGGCCCCCCCCAAAACCCCCAGGGGCCCCCAGACTCACCCTCTCCGTTCTCCTCTGACTCTGACATTTTGGGGAGGGAGGTTTAGGGGGGTCCGGGAGGTTTTGGGGTACCCTGGGGGGTCCCAAAGGATTTTCAAGGGGATTTGTGGGGTCTGTTGGGATTTGGGATCATGGAGGGGAGGGAATTGGGGGGTCCGGGTGTGTTTGGGGGGTGTTTAGGGGGGTCAGGGGGTATTTAGGGGGGTCAGGGGGGTCCGGGGTATTTAGGGGGGGGTCGGGGGGTATTTAGATGGCTTAGGGGGTGTTTGGGGGTGTTTAGGGGGGTCAGGGGGTGTTTGGGGGTGTTTAGGAGGGTTCGGGGGGGATTTAGAGGGTTCAGGGAGTGTTTGGAGGGGGTCGGGGGGGGGTGTTTGGGGGGGTTCAGAGAATGTTTAGGGAATTCAGGGGTATTTAGGGTGTTCGGGGGTATTTAGGAGGTTTCAGGGGGTATTTAGAGGTCTCAGGGGGGGTTCAGGGGGTATTTAGGGTGTTCGGGGGGTATTTGTGGGGTTCAGGAAGGTTCAGGGATATTCAGGGGGCTCAGGGTGGGTCAGGGGTCGGTGGGCACAGAGGTCAGGGGGTGTTTAGGGGGGTTCAGGGGGAATTTAGGGGGGCTCGGGGTATTTAGGAGGTCTTCGGGGTGGTCAGGGGCTCAGGGTGGGTCAGGGGGTGTTTAGGGTGTTCAGGGGGTATTTAGGGGGGCTCAGGGGTGTTTAGGGGGTCTCAGGGGTGGTCAGGGGGTATTTAGGGGTATTTTGGGGTCTCAGGGTGGGTCTGGGTCAGTGGGCACGGGGGTCCGGGGGTGTTTAGGGAGGTCAGGGGGTCTCAGGGATATTTTGGGGTCTCAGGGATATTTTGGGGTCAGGGTCGGTGGGTTCGGGGGTCTCAGGGATATTTTGGGGTCAGGGTCGGTGGGTTCGGGGGTCTCAGGGATATTTTGGGGTCTCAGGGATATTTTGGGGTCAGGGTCGGTGGGCTCGGGGGTCTCAGGGATATTTTGGGGTCAGGGTCGGTGGGCTCGGGGGTCTGGGGGTATTTTGGGGTCTCAGGGTGGGTCAGGGTCGGTGGGCTCGGGGGTCTCAGGGATATTTTGGGGTCAGGGTCGGTGGGCACGGGGGTCTCAGGGATATTTTGGGGTCTCAGGGATATTTTGGGGTCAGGGTCGGTGGGTTCGGGGGTCTCAGGGATATTTTGGGGTCAGGGTCGGTGGGCTCGGGGGTCCGGGGGTATTTTGGGGTCTCAGGGTGGGTCAGGGTCGGTGGGCTCGGGGGTCTCAGGGATATTTTGGGGTCAGGGTCGGTGGGTTCAGGGGTCCGGGGGTATTTTGGGGTCTCAGGGTCGGTGGGCTCGGGGGTCTCTCCCCGGCCTCCCCAGGGCTCGGTCCCGGCTCTTCCCGGCCGGGGATTAACGGGGATTAACGGGGAGGGGGGAGGGGAGGGGGGAGCAGCGCTGGACACGTGACCAGGAACGGGGGGGAGGGGCTGGGGACAAGAGAGGGGGGAGGGGCCAGTGGGGACAGGTGAGAGGGGGTGGGGACAGGAGTGTGGAAAGCGCCCATCGCTGGTTTTTCAAATGTTAAAAGTTAAATAGTAATAAAAATAGTTGTAAAAAATAGGAACAGGATTGGATGTTGCTTTCTGCTCGTAGTTAATCCTTAAAGGGCTCTGCGATAAAAACCTTTGGAAGTATAATTTCAGAATATAATTTGGAATAGATTTATAAAGGAAATTTGCTCATCTCACCCCTTAATAAAGCAGAGAGAAGCAGTTTGAGGAAGGAAGATGAACATCACCTCAAGGATTTATGGTTTCCACCAAAGGGAAGCTGGACATTGCTGTTGTGAGATTTATAATCCTTGGAATTAAAAGGTGGATCCACATCTGGGATTCGTCTTTCTTCTTTCAGAAACCAGATCAGCACCATCTGGGATCCTCCTTTTGGGATCCATCCTGAGAAAAACTAAAATCACAATAGGGTATAGGATTGTGAGGTAAAAATTGGGAATAGAAACTGCTGATGAGTAAAAAATTGGGAATAGAAACCCTCAATTATCAGTGTGCAGTTGGAGGGCAAAACTCCCCCCACTGTACCCAGCGCTGTACTGCTCAAACTTTACCTTTTTAATTAATTAATTGATTGCTGTGGGAATATTGGCCTAGTCAAGCTTCTTATTTATAACAATGGCAGCCAGACTGAACAGCAAGCTACGACTTAACTCAAAAATGTACATTCCACCTAAATTAAAATGGATTTTTTCTACCTTGGAAAATTTCCACTCTGCCTCAACAACTCCTGCCATGCTCCACCACTGAGGCCTACAACTCCCATCATGCTCCACCACTGAGGCCTACAACTCCCGTCATGCACCACCACTGAGGCCTACAACTCCCATCATGCTCTGCCTACAACTCCCATCATGCACCGCCACTGAGGCCTACAACTCCCATCATGCTCTGCCTACAACTCCCATCATGCACCGCCACTGAGGCCTACAACTCCCATCATGCTCCGCCTACAACTCCCGTCATGCACCGCCACTGAGGCCTACAACTCCCATCATGCTCCACCACTGAGGCCTACAACTCCCATCATGCTCTGACACTGAGGCCTACAATGCACATCATGCTCCGCCTACAACTCCATCATGCATGGCCACCACTGCCTACAACTCCTATCATGCTCCGCCACTGAGGCCTACAACTCCTGTCATGCTCCGCCTACAACTCCCATCAAGTTCCGCCACTGAGGCCTACAACTCCCATCATGCACCGCCACTGAGGCCTACAACTCCCCTCATGCTCCGCCTAGAACTCCCATCATGCTCCGCCTACAACTCCCGTCATGCACCGCCACTGAGGCCTACAATCCTGTCATGCTCCATCTACAACTCCCATCATGCATGGCCACCACTGCCTACAACTCCCGTCATGCTCTGCCACTGGGGCCTACAACTCCCGTCATGCTCCGCCTACAACTCCCATCATGCTCCACCACTGAGGCCTACAACTCCCATCATGCTCTGCCACTGAGGCCTACAATGCGCATCATGCTCCGCCTACAACTCCCGTCATGCTCCACCACTGAGGCCTACAACTCCCATCATGCTCCGCCTACAACTCCCATCATGCACCGCCACTGGGGCCTACAACTCCTGTCATGCACCGCCACCGCTGCCTACAACTGCCATCATGCTCCGCCACTGAGGCCTACAACTCCCATCATGCTCCGCCTACAACTCCCATCATGCTCCACCACAGAGGCCTACAACTCCCATCATGCTCTGCCACCGCTGCCTACAACTCCTGTCATCCTCCACCACTGAGGCCTACAACTCCTGTCATGCACCGCCACCACTGCCTACAACTCCCATCATGCTCTGCCACTGGGGCCTACAACTCCTGTCATGCTCTGCCTACAACTCCTGTCATCCTCCGCCACTGGGGCCTACAACTCCCATCATCCTCCACCACTGAGGCCTACAACTCCCGTCGTGCCTCGCGGTTCTGCCACCTGTGCCTACAACTCCTGTCATGCCCCGCCACCACTGCCTACAACTCCCATCATGCTCTGCCACTGGGGCCTACAACTCCTGTCATGCTCTGCCTACAACTCCTGTCATCCTCCGCCACTGGGGCCTACAACTCCCATCATCCTCCACCACTGAGGCCTACAACTCCCGTCGTGCCTCGCGGTTCTGCCACCTGTGCCTACAACTCCTGTCATGCCCCGCCATCGCCACCTACAATGTTTTGTGGAGATAAACAAAACTCCACAATTTTTGTGAAAGTTGTAAAGCTGGTGTGTTTATTACAGTGCTGGACGCATGTGGGAATCCATTCCTTCCTTCCCTCACATTCCTGCCCACAGGCTCCATCCCCTCATGGCCAACGCCCGCCATTTTCCTGCACTTTGCTGCCACACGCCACCGCCTACAACTCCTGTCATGCCCCACGGGTGTCACAGCATCGCCGGACCTGCGCCCTTTCCCCCTCAGGCCCTGCAGGTGCCGCTTGTACAAAATCACAGAATTATTCAGGTCAGGAAAAACCCTCAAAGCCATCGATTCCCATCGTTCCGTCCACGCCGCCAAGGCCACCCTAAACGTGTCCCCAGGTGCCACATCCTCCCCTCACACATTCCTCCCCTCAGCTGCCCCCCACAGGTTCCATTCCCCCACCACCCTCACGGCCTCCATCTCCCCCTTCCGCTTTCCCTCACACCCCACATGCAGCAATTCCCGCTCTCCCACCCCTCACAGGCACCATTTTCCCCTCAGACACCTGCTGGGTGCCCATTCCTTCCCCTCACATTCCCCACAAGCTCCATCCCCTCACGCCTCCCTGCTCGCCATTTTCCCACCTTTTCCCGCCACACGCCGCCGCCTACAAGTCCCGTCATGCTCTGCCACCGCCGCCTACAACTCCCATCATGCTCCGCACCGGGGCCTACAACTCCCATCATGCTCCGCCACCGCCGCCTACAACTCCCATCATGCTCCGCCACTGCCGCCTACAACCCCGTCATGCTTTGCCTATAACTCCCGTCATGCCCCGCGGTTCCGCCGCCACCGCCTAACAACTCCCATCGTGCCCCGGGGCCATCGCCCCGCCCTTTTCCCCTCACGTGAGCGGCGGCCGCGCTCTCTGTGAGGGAGCCCCCCCCCACAAATCTCCCCAAATTTTCTCCCCCCCTCAGAATTTGGGGATCCCCCCGACTCCCCAGCCATGGAGGAGGTGGACAAGATCCTGATCCACTCCCTGCGCCAGGCGGGGACGTGAGTGGGGCGGGAATGGGGGGGTTTGGGTGGTTGGGGGGCTCCGGTAGGGGGCACTGAGGAATTTGGGGAGTCTGTGAGGGGGGGGCTGTGGAAGGACAGAGGGACACCCCCATGGAGGAATTTGGGTGGGGGTCCTGAGCGAATTGTGGGGGCTGAGTGAATATTTGGGGGTCCCTGAGTGGGGATTTTGGGGGGGGACACTGAGAAAACCCCGAGGAATTTGGGTGGGGGTCCTGAGAGAATTGGGGGGGGCTGAGTGGATATTGGGGGTCCCTGAGTGGGGATTTGGGGGGGGACACTGAGAAAACCCCGAGGAATTTGGGTGGGGGTCCTGAGAGAATTGGGGGGGGGCTGAGTGAATATTTGGGGGTGCCTGAGTCTGGATTTTGGGGGGGACACTGAGAAAACCCCGAGGAATTTGGGTGGGGGTCCCTGGAGAGGCTGTGGGGGTCCTGACCGAATTGGGGGGGGGGCCGAGTGAATATTTGGGGGATTTTTGGGGGGCTTTTTGGGGGACTGTTTGGGGGTTTTTGGGGCTGTTTTGGCGACTTTTGGGGGGCAGTTTTGGGGATTTTTTAGGGGCTGTTTTGGGGGTCTTTAGGGGCTGTTTTGGAGATTTTTTAGAGGCTGTTTTGGGGGTTTTTGGGGGCTGTTTTAGGGACTTTGGGGGGTTGTGTTGGGGTTTTTTGGGGGCTGTGTTGGGGATTTTTTGGGGGCCATTTTGGAGATGTTTGGGGGGACTGTTTGTGGATTCTGGGAGCTGATTTGAGGATTTTTAGGTGCTTTTTTGGGGATTTTTTAGGCGCTGTTTTGGGGGTCTTTGGGGGCCGTTTTGGGGGATTTTGGGGGGCTGTTTTGGGTGTTTTTAGGAGCTATTTTGGGGACTTTTGGGGGCCAGTTTTGGGCATTTTTGGGGGCTGTTTTGGGGATTTTTGGGGGCTGTTTTGTGGCGTTTTTTGGGGTTTTTTGGGGGACTGTTTTGTGGATTTTGGGAGCTGTTTTGAGGATTTTTAGGGGCTGTTTTGGGGGTCTTTAGGGGCTGTTTTGGAGATTTTTTAGGGGCTGTTTTGGGGTTTTTTTGGGGGACTTGGGGGCCATTTTGGGGATTTTTTAGGGGCCCTTTTGGGGATTTTTTAGGGGCTCTTTTGGGGATTTCTTTGGCGCTTGCTTTGGGGATTTTTGGGGGGCTGTCAGGATTTTTGGGGGCTGTTTTGGGGATTTTTGGGGGGTTTTTGGGAGACTGTTTTGGGTGTTTTTAGGGGTTGTTTTGGGGACTTTTGGGGGCCAGTTTTGGGCATTTTTAGGGGCTGTTTTTGGGATTTTTGAGGGTTGTTTTGCGGGGACTTTGGGGGGTTGTGTTGGGGTTTTTTGGGGGCTGTTTTGTGGATTTTTAGGGGCTGTTTTGGGGATTTCTTTGGCGGTTGCTTTGGGGATTTTGGGGGGGCTGTTTTGGGGATTTTTGGGGGCTGTTTTGGGGGTTTTTGGGGGCTGTTTTAGCGACTTTGGGGGGTTGTGTTGGGGTATTTTGGGGGCTGTTTTGGGGATTTCTGCGGGGGTTTTTGGGGGACTGTTTTGGGTGTTTTTAGGAGCTATTTTGTGGATTTTTGGGGGCTGTTTTGTGGATTTTTAGGGGCTGTTTTGAGGATTTTTAGGCGCTCTTCTGGGTATTTTTTAGGCGCTGTTTTGGGGATCCTTGGGGGCCGTTTTGGACATTTTTTGGGGGACAGTTTTGGGGAATTTTGGGGGACTGTTTTGGGGATTTTTGGGGGGTTTTTGGGGGATTGTTTTGGGTGTTTTTAGGAGCTATTTTGGGGACTTTTGGGGGCCAGTTTTGGGCATTTTTGGGGGCAGTTTTGGGCATTTTTAGGGGCTGTTTTTGGGGGGACTTTGGGGGGCTGTTTTGGGGGTTTTTGGGGGCTGTTTTGGGTGTTTTAGGGGTTGTTTTGGGGACTTTTGGGGGGGCCAGTTTTGGGGATTTTTTGGGGCTGTTTTGGGGGTTTTTGGGGGCTGTTTTAGCGACTTTGGGGGGTTGTGTTGGGTTTTTTTGGGGGCTGTTTTGGGGACTGTTTTGTGGATTTTGGGAGCTGTTTTGAGGATTTTTAGGCGCTCTTCTGGGTATTTTTTAGGCTCTGTTTTGGGGATCCTTGGGGGCCGTTTTGGAGATTTTTTGGGGGCTGTTTTGTGGATTTTGGGAGTGGTTTTGAGGATTCTTAGGGGCTCTTTTGGCGATTTTTTGGGGGGCTCTTTGGGGACTTCTCTGGCGGTTGATTTGGGTATTTTTGGGGGTCTGTGATGATGTTGTGGGTATATGATGATTTTGGGGGTCCGTGATGATTTTGGGGGTCCGTGATGATTTTGGGGGGCTGGTTTTGGGAATTTTTGGGGTCTATGATGAATTTTGGGCCCTGTGATGAATGTTGGGCTCCGTGATGATGTCGGGGCTCCCCAGGGCGGTGCCCCCCGAGGTTCAGAGCGTTCGGGACCTGAGCCCGGAGCTGCTGCTGTGGCTGGCAGAATTTGGGGGGCAGTTTTGGGAATTTTTGGGGGTCTATGATGATTTTTGGGCTCTGTGGTGATGTCGGGGCTCCCCAGGGCGGTGCCCCCCGAGGTTCAGAGCGTTCGGGACCTGAGCCCGGAGCTGGTGGTGGCCGCCGCCGTTCGCTGCCTCCGCGCCGTGAGCCCCGCGCTGGGCGCTGCCCTGAGCCCGGCGCTGCCCCCGGGCATCTCCGCCCGCTTCCGCCTGGCCTCCGAGCTGGCCTCGGCCTGCCAGGTACCCCCGAACCCTGAAACACCCAAAAAACACCAAAAAACAAACAAACAAACCGAAAAAACCCCGGAAAAATGGGGCTCCCCCCCAGCTCAGCGCTCCCTGGGGTGGTTTTGGGGGGGTTGGGGGTTGGTTTGGGGGGCTGGGGGTCGGTTCTGGGGGCTGGGGTTTGGTTTGAATGAATTGGGGGTGGTTTGGGGGTCTGGGTGTTATTTTGGGGGATCTGGGGTTTGGTTTGGGGGGTCTGGGGGTTGGTTTGAATGAATTTGGGGTGGTTTTGGGGGTCTGGGGTTTGGTTTGAATGAATTTGGGGTGGTTTTGGGGGGGGGTGAGGGTTGGTTTTAATGAGTTTGGGGTGGTTTGGGGGTCTGGGGATTATTTTGGGGGGTCTGGGGGTTGTTTTTAATGAATTTGGGGGTGGTTTGGGGGGGTCTGGGGGTTATTTTGGGGGATCTGGGTGTTGGTTTTGGGCGGTGGGGGTTGGTTTGAATGAATTGGGGGTGGTTTTGGGGGGGATGAGGGTTGGTTTTAATGAATTTGGGTTGGTTTGGGGGGTCTGGGTGTTGGTCTGGGGGGGGCTGGGGGTCGGTTTGAAAGAATTGGGGGTGGTTTTGGGGGGGTCTGGGCGTTGGTTTGGGGTTCTGGGGGTTGTTTTTAATGAATTTGGGGTGGTTTGGGGGGGCCTTGGGGTTTGGTTTGGGGGTCTGGGGGTTGGTTTTGGGGTTCTGGGGGTCATTTTTAATGAATTTGGGATGTTTTGGGGGGTCTGGGGGTTGTTTTGGGGGGTCTGGGGGTTGGTTTGGGGGGCCTGGGGGTTGGTTTGGGGGGGCCTGGGGGTTGCTTTGAGGGGCTGTAGGAGCTGAGGTTTGGTTTGGGGGGAGCTGGGAGGTGTTTTGGGGATCTGGGGTTGGTTTTGGGGGTCTGGGTGTTGTTTTTAATGAATTGGGGTTGGTTTTGGGGGTCGGTTTGAATGAGTTTGGGTTGGTTTTGGGGGGCTGGGGTTTGGTTTGGGGGTCTGGGGGTTATTTTGGAGGGTCTGGCATTTGGTTTGAATGAATTGGGGGTGGTTTGGGGGGGCTGGGGGGGTCTGGGGTTTGGTTTGAATGAATTGGGGGTGGTTTTGGGGGTCTGGGGGTTATTTTGGGGTGGTCGGGTTTGGTTTAATGAATTTGGGGTGGTTCTGGGGGGTCTGGGGGTGGTTTTGGGGGGCTGGGGGTTGTTTTTAATGAATTGGGGGTGGTTAGGGGGGTCTGGGGTTTTGTTTTAATGAATTTGGGTTGGTTTTGGGGGGCTGGGGGTTGGTTTTGAGGGTCTGGGGGTCATTTTTTAATGAATTTGGGGTGGTTTTGAGGGTCTGGGGGTCGTTTTTAATGAATTTGGCGTGGTTTTGGGGGTCTGGGGGTCGTTTTTAATGAGTGTGTTTGGGGGTGCCTGGGGCTTGTTTTGAATGACTTTGGGGTGGGTTTGAGTTTGGGGTGGTTTTGGGGGGCCTTGGGGTTGATTTGGGGGGGTCTGGGTATTGCTTTTAATCAGTTGCAGGTGGTTTTTAGCGGGGGTTTCGGGTCAATTTTGGGATTTTTGGGATTATTTTGAGGGGCCGTACCAGCTGCGGTTGAGTTTTGATCGGCTGCGATTTTGGGAGGGAATTCCTGCCCCCCAAAACCACCAAATCCCCCCCAAAACCACCAAATCCCCCTCCAAGCCAGCACCCCACCAATTTTAGGCTGTCCCAAACAATTTTGGGGTGTCCCCAACCCTCTGAATCCCCCCTTCAGGAGCTGGGATTTGGGGGTGACGTTGGCTACCAGACCTTCCTGTACAGCTCCGAGCAAAGCCCCAAAACAGCCCCTAAAAACACCCAAACCAGCCCCAAAAAAGCCCCTAAATATCCCAAAAATAGCCCCAAAAAGCTCCAAGATCCCCTAAAGATCCCCTAAAGATCCCCAGAAAGCCCCTAAAAACCCCCAAAACCCCCCAAATCTCCCAAAACAGCCCCCAAAAAATCCCCTAAAATCCCCCAAAACAGCCCCCAACACCCCCAAAAACCCCCCCAAAATCCCCAAAACAGCCCCAAAGACACCCAAAAATGCCCAAAACAACCCTAAAAACACCAAATCCCCCTCCAAGCCAGCACCCCACGAATTTTGGGCTGTCCCAAACAATTTTGGGGTGTCCCCAACCCTCTGAACCCCCCCTTTTAGGAGCTGGGATTTGGGGGTGACGTTGGCTACCAGACCTTCCTGTACAGCTCTGAGCAAAGCCCCAAAACAGCCCCTAAAAACCCCCAAAAATCTGTAAACCAGCTCCCAAAAAACCCCAAAACAGCCCCTAAAAATCTCCAAACAACCCCAAAAACAGCCCCCAACACAATCCCCAAAACAGCCCCAAAAAATACCCAAAAAGCCCCAAAACAGCCCCTAAAAACCCCCAAAAATCCTCAAAAAATCCCCAAAACAGCCCCTAAAGACACCCAAAAACGCCCAAAAACAACCCCTAAAACCACCAAATCCCCCTCCAAGCCAGCACCCCAGGAATTTTGGGCTGTCCCAAACAATTTTGGGGTGTCCCCAACCCTCTGACCCCCCCTTTAGGAGCTGGGATTTGGGGGGTGACGTTGGCTACCAGACCTTCCTGTACAGCTCCGAGCAAAACAGCCCCTAAAAACCCCCAAAAATGCCCAAAAACCCTCAAAAAATCCCCAAAACAGCCCCTAAAAACACCCAAACCAGCCCCAAAAAAGCCCCTAAATATCCCAAAAATAGCCCAAAAAAGCCCCAAGATGCCCTAAAGATCCCCTAAAGATCCCCAAAAAGCCCCTAAAAACCCCCAAAAATCCTCAAAAAATCCCCAAACCAGCCCCTAAAAACCCCCAAAAACCCTCAAAAAATCCCCAAACCAGCCCCTAAAAACCCCCAAAAATCCTCAAAAAACCCCCAAAACAGCCCCTAAAGACACCCAAAAACCCCAAAAATCCTCAAAAAATCCCCAAACCAGCCCCTAAAAACCCCCAAAAATGCCCAAAAATCCTCAAAAAATCCCCAAACCAGCCCCTAAAAACACCCAAAACTGCCCAAAACAACCCCTAAAAACACCAAATCCCCCTCCAAGCCAGCACCCCACGAATTTTGGGCTGTCCCCAACAATTTTGGGGTGTCCCCAACCCTCTGAAACCCCCCCTTTAGGAGCTGGGATTTGGGGGTGACGTTGGCTACCAGACCTTCCTGTACAGCTCCGAGCACGACGTGCGGCGCCTCCTCCTCTTCCTCGTGGAGAAGCTGCCCCGGGACGAGGGCGAGCGCGGGGCTGAGACCCCCGGTACCAGCCTGGGGGGGATCTCAGGGGGTTTTTGGGGTGTCCTGAGGGGTTTTTGGGGTGTCCTGAGGGGTTTTGGGGTGTCCTGGGGGTGGGGAGGGATGGGTTTGGTGTGGGGGATGTGGAGGTCGGAGCTGAGCCTGGAGATGTTTTTGGTGCAGGTGTGGCTGGGGTGGGGGGAAAGGGAGGTCAGAGGGGAGGGGAGGCCCTAAAACAGGCCCAAAATCATCAAAAAAGACCCCAAAAATGTCCCAAAACAGCCCCAAAAATGTCCCAAATATCCCCCAAAAATCTCCCAAAGCATCACCCAAAAATGTCCCAAAACAGCCCCTAAAAATCTCCCAAAACAGCCCCCAAAAATCTCCCAAACCAGCCCCAAAAAAATCTCCCAACCCAGCCCCAAAAACCCTCAAAACCGCTCCTAAAAACCCCCAAAACAGCCCCCAAAATCAGCAAAACATCCCCCAAAAATGTCCCAAAACATCCCCAAAAATCACCAAAACGTCCCCCAAAAATCTCCCAAACGAGCCCCAAAATACGCCCTTAAACAGCCCCAAAACAGCCCCCAAAATCACCAAAACATCCCCAAAATTCCCCTAAAACAGCCCCAAAATATTCCCTAAAACAGCCCCCCAAATCACCAAAACAGCCCCCCCACCAAAAATCTCCCAAAACATCCCCCAAAAATGTCCCAAACCAGCCTCAAAATATCCCCTAAAACAGCCCCCAAAACAGCCCCTAAAAACCCCCAAAACAGCCCCCAAAAATCACCAAAACATCCCCCAAAAATCTCCCAGAACATCCCCCAAAATATCCCTTAAAACAGCCCCAAAACATCCCCCAAAAATCTTCCAAAACATCCCCCAAAAATCTCCCAAACCAGCCCCAAAATATCCCCTAAAACAGCCCCAAAATATCCCCTAAAACAGCCCCAAAATATCCCTAAAACAGCCCCCAAAACAGCCCCTAAAAACCCCCAAAACAGCCCCCAAAATCACAAAAACAGCCCCAAAATATGCCCTAAACCAGCCCCAAAACAGCCCCCAAAAATCCCCAAAACAGCCCCAAAATATGCCCTAAAACAGCCCCCAAAACCGCTCCTAAAAACCCCCAAAACAGCCCCCAAAATCACCAAAACAGCCCCCAAAAATCTCCCAAAACACCCCCCAAAAATGTCCCAAAAAATCCCCCAAAAATCACCAAAACTTCCTCCAAAAATCTCCCAGAACATCCCCCAAAATTCCCCTAAAACAGCCCCAAAATATTCCCTAAAACAGCCCCAAAATATCCCCTAAAACAGCCCCAAAATATTCCTAAAACAGCCCCAAAACAGCCCCTAAAACAGCCCCAAAACAGCCCCTAAAAACCCCCAAAACAACCCCCAAAATCACCAAAACAGTCCCAAAAATCACCAAAACGTCCCCCAAAAATCTCCCAAACCAGCCCCAAAATATCCCCTAAAACAGCCCCAAAATATCCCCTAAAACAGCCCTAAAAAGCCCCAAAAATCCCCAAAACAACCCCTAAAAATACCCAAAACACCCCTAAAATGCCCCCTAAATCCCCCAAAACAACCTCCAACACCCCCAAAAATCCCCCAAAACTCCCAAAAACCCCTAAAAAAGCCCCAAGCCCCCCCTAAAATACCCAAAATCCCCTAAAAACCCCCAAAACATCCCCCAAATATCCCCAAACCAGCCCCTAAAAAGCCCCAAAAATGCCCAAAACAACCCCTAAAAACACCCAAAAATCCCCTAAAAACACCCCTAAATCCCCTAAAATAGCCCCCAATACCCCAAAAATCCCCAAAAAATCCCCTAAAAAACCCCAAAACACCCCCCAAACACCCAAAAATAGCCCCAAATATCCCCAAACCAGCCCCTAAAAACCCCCAAAAATCCCCAAAACAGCCCCTAAAAACCCCCCAAACAACCCCTAAAAACACCCAAAAATCCCCTAAAAACCCC